CTTTTGTAAAAACTTTCACATATTTTGTACAAAGACTTATCTAATATATAAAAAAAAAAATTACAATAATCTTAAAATCAATTCATAAAGGTATGGATGGTAATGGCAGCAATAAAAATGGTGCAACTTACTTTATTATTCAATATACCTAAGCAAGATTGCTAAATATTTCCATTCAAATATTCTTTTTTTTCATTATAAATCAGCAGCTACTAAGAATAAATGATATTTGAGTTAGTAGTGGCCATGAAACTGTTGAATGGTAAATATGTAATATGCTAGGAAGTCAAACTCAGTGCAAAAATATTTTTAAAATGCAGTGAAATATAAGGAAAAGACTTAAAATTTTTAATATTTGTGGTAATCATATTTTTTTTTCCTTCATGATCAATTTTAATTTTTATTTAAAGAATGGATAGAGCATGAAAGACCTTTTAGTATTTATATTTATCCTGATTAAAGGAAGGTAGCATGTAGCTCTGTAAAGTGCATGCAAATGACGAATAAATACAAACAGAAATTAGATGAAAATACTTTCTTCTGTGTCTNTTTTCTTCATACATTCTGATTTTCATACAAATCGAAAAAAGTTTTAAAATTGATATATTGTTATCTTTTGCCCTGAACTGAACAGGAACTTATTCTCTTTCTTCCCTTTTTTTTGTCATTTCATCGTTCTTTTCTAAGTGAGAATTCAGTATAAATTTCTAATGTACGCATGCGTGTGGACTCCTCTTTTTTTCATTAAAAAGATTTTGGTTTTCAGACAGTTGAATTCTATTTTGCATTATTACTTTATTTTCGTGTAGTAAAGTTTAAACTTCTTTACCTTTTACGGACCAAAATTTAAAATCTTACACAAAATTTGAACTTTATTCGATTTAAAATATATTAGTTTTTTATGTATAAATATTTTTAAATCTCAAATTACTGTCATTTTGAATATATCGTTCTAATTATGGTTCTGAATTTAATATAAAAAATTTTTACTCATGGGGATTAAGTTTAGTTGTGTTAAAAACATTTTACAAGTTAAGAAGTTATTTTATGTTTTAAGTTATTTAGAATATCTCAATTTTAAACTGGAACAGTTATATTTAAATAGTAATAACAAGCCCAGATGATGCAGCATTAAAGTAAGTTTTTCTTCTTCTTTTTTTTTAAATATTAAAAAACTAGACCACATACGTTTTTCATTTTCTCAAATCATTGGCTTTTTCTTCATGTAGATGTTCTATACCATTTTCAGAATATGCATAGAAAGCGCTGGCTAAACTTGACCTAACAATCATGAGTAACTGTTGCATAGTCATTGCAGATATGAAAAAAGCATATTCGCCAAAAAAGCATCATTTCATGAGACGACTTCACATCATTTTGGCACAATTTGTTTTAAAATCCCCTGAATATATATTTTAAAAATGTTTAATTCTTATAGAATTCTATATTGATTCAAATCACAGGGTTGAATTTGATAAAAAACCAAAAATCTGGGAGTAGAAATCCAAAAATGTTATTTGCAAAAACACTTTTGAAATAATTTGAAGAAATACCTGAAATTTAAGCAACAAAAAAAAGGTGCATGTAGGAAACATTTATCCACAGAGTGTTATCAACTTCTTCTTCTCACTGGCACGACAGCCCAGGATGGGCCTTGGCCTTCTCAACAATACTATGCCAAGACATTCTTCCCTTAGCCAAGGTTCTCCAGTCTATTATCTTTGAAATTTTTTGGTCCTTTTCAAGGCAGTCTAAAAATCTTAGGTTTGGTCGTTCTCTTTTTCTTGTACCTGTTGGCCTGGCACAGAAACCTTTTTTGGTTGTCCTGCTATCCTCCATTCTTATAATGCGACCTGCCCATTTAATCCTTTGAATTTTGATAAATTTAATGACATCAGGTTCTTTATATGCTTTGTAAAGTTCCGTGTTTGATCTTCTAAATCAGGTACCGTTTTTACTTATTCCACCAAAAATGCTTCGCAGTATTTTTCTCTCAAATCTAGCTATCATATTTTCATCTCCACGGGTCATTGTCCAGTTCTCACATGCGTGTGTAAGCACTGATCGTATAAGACATTTATAGAGTAACACTTTTGTTTTTCTTTTTATTAGGCTTGACTTATGATATTTTCTTAGACCATAAAAACACTTATTGGCCATCGTGATTCTCGTGTGTATTTCTTGTGTAGTGTCGTATTTGTTGTTAATCTTAGACCCCAAATAGGTGAAGCTATCAACGGCTTCGAATTTGTATGCTCCAATTTCAAACTGTGTTTCTTTATAGCCAGCTTTTGTGCAGGGCATATATTTATTTTTATTTTCATTGATTCTTAACCCCATGAATGTTATCAACGCTTTAATAAAAATATCAATGCGAGATTTTACTTCTTTAAATTGTATTAATATGAATGTCAATGTATGATTTTTAAATTGCGTATATACAAATCTCGACATTTTATTTTAAAATCGCGTAAATACGAATCTCAATGTGTGATTTTTAAATCACGCGATTACGAATCTCAACATTTAATTCTAAAATCGCGTAAATACGAATCTCGATATTTGATTTTAAAATCGTTTGAATACGATTATCGATTTTAACATCAAAAGAATACGAATTTTAATGTTTGATTTTAACATCGCGTGAATACGAATATCCATGTTTGAATTTAAAAACGAGCGAGTATGAATGTCGGTGTTCCTTTTTAAAATCACGTGAATACGAATTCCGATGTATAATTTTTAAATCACTTGAAAAGGAATCATAATAATCATGTGAATATGAAAAGCGATATTTCATACAAAATCATGAAAATGCGAAACAAGATACTCGATATTAAATCACGTAAATAGAAATCGTGATGCATGATTTTAAGTCTCTAAAATAATTCGAATAAGATAAACGTTCTTTGAAGAGGCGGATTATCTTTTTTCTTATTTAGTAATAGTAAAAAATTTTCCGCGATGGAGACAAATTCTTTGCGAATGGTGTTCACGGGCTCGGGTATATTATATGGGTCTGCGTGTACTAGAATGTAGCACACAGACAAAAGAAAAAGTGACAGTCAAGAGTCCTGTCAAATTGTTTTTATAAAAGGTACTAATTTACTCCCGTCATGTTGCGTCATTTACAAAAACAATATCACCTACGTATTTTCAGCTCTGTAGTGTATGTTTCGACCCCTTCCCACCTTAAAAATAGTTCTTTATAGTAAATGGAAATTGACAATATCGTAACAAATCCTATTTTTTCCCCTTTAGCATGTTTTAACATAGTTGCCAATCTTTTTCTGCTGTAACCAGAGAATTTTTCAAGTAATAGTAAAACGTACATATTAATATTTAAATTTTGTCTAATAATTGAAAATTAAAAAGATTATTCTCCTTGTAGCATAAATATAAATAAATGATAGATATACAGGCTGCAACAAAAAGTTTAGAAACGGTCAAACATCTCGAGAAATATGCATTGAATTATAGCAATAGAGGCATTCAATATTTTTTTTAAAAAAATATCCAATGATATCAAACTTGACCCTCCATCCTCAAACTCAGGGGCACGGTGGAGGCAACTTTGAAATCTTAATTACAAATACCTATTTTTTATTGCAGATATGGATTCTTCAGAATTTTTTTTAGCCCTAATTTACCTATAGGTTAATGTGTTTTACTTCACAGATGGCGCTGTAACTGGGAAAATCAAAATACGGTACAGACTGTTTAAAATGACAAAACTCAAGAACTATCAGATTTAGAACATATGAATAGAAATGTTTTGATTTCTTTTTATCAATTCCTTAAAAAATTGTTTTCTTTTTAAAAAATAATAAAACATTTGTTTTTTTTTTCAATCTCATGGGTCTTGATATACCACCATTTTTAACAGTTTGTACCCTAGTTTAATTTTCTTGGTTGCAGCGCCATTTGTAAAGCAAAATACATAAACCTATAAGGCACAATGCAAAAACCCAATAGAATTACTCTTTTGGGAGAATCCAAAGCTGCAATAAAAAGCAGGATTTCCCATTTAAAGTTTCAAAGTTACTGATACACTGCCTCCAGTGGTTGGGTGCGAAATATTAAATCTGGTGCCAATGGATAGCTTTTAAAAAAACATTGAATGCAACAATTTTCACTTTTTTGACACATATCTCAAGATATTTGACAGTTTCCAATTTTTTTCACTCTTTAGACTAAATCAGTATATGGTGTTGGACAACAGTCAAAACGTCAATAATTGACCTAATATTTTGTATACATTTGTATTTTACCAACAGAAACATTATAGGGATGGTGCAACAAAAAAAATTTCAAAATTATTTTTTTCATATGCAGTCATGCCTCCTACAAACTACCATTTTATTTTTTGAATCTATCTCAAAATGTGCAACCGATTCGATCATACCTCCCACTAACCACCATTTCATTCCTAATTTTATCTCAAAATGTGCAACAGATACAATTAATATTGATGATATAAGTAAATTCAGAAAGATATATAAATAGTATAGCACTGTTAATAAATAATGCTAAAATGTATCAACAGACCAACCATAAATAAAAAGAGAAAACATTCCTTTCGCACCTCAATTCCAGTAGTGGTTGGGGGGGGGGTCTAAGTCCTTTTCAAGATGAATCCCTGTGTCCCTGAATATTTCTTTTTCCTTTAAACAGAGATCCCGAACCAATTCGTGGAGGAAACAGAGAAATCTATGTCAATAGAAGTCTATGTAAGCTAGCTTTTTTCCTCTATGTATATTCTTTGGCATAATTGGTGTTTTTAATTCGAATGTTCACAAACATATCCAAGCATGCAATGTTAAAAAATACATGCCCGATCAGAATTTTTACATGCCTTGGGCAATAGAGTTTTCAAGCACTGGTATCAATATAATTATCCCATAGGAGCATGGAAGACAGGAAAATCTGACAAACTTAATTAGAACTAAAAATTGAACCTTTTCATTGGAAAATGACAATTTTTATAAAAACAATGGCACTCCTTATAAAAATAATTTATTTAAAATACACAATAAAATCACTTAAATCCAAACAAGAAATTTCAAGAGCAATATCATACAATAATGTAAACATTAAAATATGTGTAATAATACTTATACCAATCGTAACAAAAAAAATTATAATTTATGAATATTTTAAGAACTACAACTTTGATTTTCGTGTGAAGAATCTCATTAAGGCCTCCATACAGTCTTGTGATTGCCATCGCTCAACAAGTAACTTACATTCTTCATCATTTACTGTATGCAGAGTATCTTTTTCAAATTTTCTAATAAGTTCCTTGGATAGGATCATTGACTAAAAATAAGGAACAAAATACGTTGAAATACAGTCTTAATTTTGAAGTTCAGAAACTATATTAATACAACATTTTATTTTTAATGACAGAAAAATCATTATTATCAAATATTATGCAAACAATTAACAGGGGGTGGAATTTGAGACTTGCTTATTATGTTAATAAGGGGGGTATGGTTTTGGTACTGAACATAGTAAGATAAAGTGAAAAACACTGCAAAATTTTATGTGCAAAATATTGATATCAAGATATTAATTTATATACTATACACATTTCTAACATAATTTTTGGAGCTAAGATTTATAATTAAATCCCTACCTATGTAGAATATCACATCTATATATTAACTACTTAAAAAAATTTAAATTCTGATAAAAATCAGGATATTGGATTTTTAAATCTCATGAATACAATTTGCAACGTTGATTTTAAAATATTTCAATACATATCCCGACGTATGTTAAACTACGCGAATACGAGTCATTATGTATAGTTTTCAAATTGAGTGAATACAAAACACAATAAGCAACTTTTAAATCAGATAAATGGTAAAATTGAGGTTTGATATTAAAATCGCATGAAGAATTACAATAGTAGCAGATTCCAGTGCAGTTCTAATTCAAAATTGCCATAATTTGCCAAACCGAAAATTTCAGATTGGAAAACTCTGTGAAAATTTTGTTGGATTGAAAATTTTTTGATTCGTAGAAGTCGGTGAACTAATAGCTTTGAGATACGCAGAAAACCACATTATTCGGGGGGAAAAATCACAGGTCCTGCTCCTAGTTTTTATATAATCGGAAGGATGATACGAAAAGCCCGGAATTCCGGAGTACACCCCTGATAATATGAAGTCTGATCCTGGGTGGCGTCCTGGAGCCCACCTAAATTCAGATGAATGGATACCAGTATGTATATTTGCAGAAGGTTACAAAGCCTTTGAATCAAAGAGAAACTTTCTGTATTCTCATGAACTTACAGAAAATGATCAGCTGTTTGTCACAATTGACAAAAATGTACTATTTTCATTAGAAATAGAAGAGTATGTTTATTTGTTCAAACCAAATATTCAAATATTTTGAAAAATAATGCATGTCTACCTATCTTTTGCATAATAAATATTTTTTACAGTATAATAAAAAAAATTCAATATAAATTTTTATATACTTATAGTAAATTTATGAATTTACATGTCTATTATTTTTCATACATTTTAAAGTCGTTAGTTATCTGATATTTAATGTTGATCCCTATTCATAGTTTTTATGTATCTATAATTCATAACTAATGGTCTCAAGAAACGACTAATCGATGTTCTAGTGTACATATATAATATATACACATTTGGGTATTATTAACAATATAAGAAAAGGGATATATAGAAAGTGAAAAATTTGATAACAATTGATTGAGATTGACTACACATACAAACTTATACATATAAAGAAAAGGTGCTGGCTATGCCTGGTTCATAAGTAGATTACACACCTATTGTAGTAGTACATGGATAGTGAATTGCTTTTGTTAAATTTTTATAAATTAAATTTAAATTATTTGCGAAATTTTAAAAAGTTAACTTTCTTTTACCACATCACACAACACAGTTTAAGTGGTGTTAACTATTCAATTCTTTAGGAGAAAAAATTAAAACCGTATTGTGACATTTCATAAAAAAACAATTAGAAATTACTCAATAAATTAATGTATAGTTACTTGTTTTGATGCTTGAGACAAAAATTCTAATTTTCTTTTAACATCTTCATGGAAGGTGTCATTTGGAAATATTTCTGAAACTAATCCCATTGACTTAGCTTCAACAGCATCAAATTTTTTATTAAATAGGAGAACTTCATTTGCCTGCAATAAAGAACAAGGTTTTGAAGGATTAACTTGGTTTTGAATTAGGGGTGTAACAAACAATGATATCTCAGAATACCGAATATTTGGCTAAAAAAATCAGCCAAATACCTAATATTCAACAACTAAATCTAAAAAAAAATAAGTTGAAAAGATGAAGAAAAAAACATCCTCTCAATTATTAAAAAAAAAACTTTAATGTTAAAAATAATATTTTCCATAAAAAAAATTATCCATAAAACATTAAAAGAGATGAATTCTATCATAAACGCTTTTAAAAATGCAATGCTATTATAAAAACGCCAATAAAAAAAACAAAGATTACATACAAAAGCTAAAATAAATAAATAAATATTAAAAAAAATAGAAACGATCTTAATCGACAGAAAATTTTAAAGTTGAACATTTCAGTTTTCCAATTACTATATTTTTAAGAAAAATTTAAAATAAAAACTTAATAGAAACACTCTTAATTGCCGCGTCATAATAGAAACGTCCATAAAAACATAAGTTTCTTTTTTTAAAGATAAAGCTATATAGAAACCCAACCAAAAATCATTCATAATTTTTTAATAAAATATTTAATGCTCAAAATCTTATGTTTACTTTTTCCCATAGCGTATTTTTTGGAAAAACTGACCATAAAAAATGTTCATTAGAAATGCTTTTTAAAAAAATGTTGCCATAATAAAAATACTGATAAAAAGAAAAGTTAATAAAAAAATCAAAATAGAAATAAATTGTTCTTAGTTTTGAAATATAACTTTAACGTTGAGAATTTCAGTTTTTTATGTTACTAGTTATCCGTCTTATCATACAAGAAAAAAGTGACAATAAAAGAATTCAGTCAATTAGAAACTTTAACATACGTTGATTTAGTTAAAACAGAAAAACAAGCAAAAATGAAACAAAGGAAAAAGTTCCAAATTTTTAATGAATAAACGTTTAAATTGTCTTGTCTGAACATAATAATAAAAAAATAAAAAACAGCATTACAGAGCTCATGGTTCAGTGTAAAGTAATCTAGTTTTAATTCTTCAAATTTCAATTTTCCATGTGTCTTTCATAACATAAATAACAAGTTTTAGAACATAACAAATAAGAGTAAAAAATATTTCTAACAGTGTAGAGTATAAAATACGGTTTTGGATTATTCTTCATTAAATCTATTAAAATTCCCCCAAAAAAAAACTTAGTTGAAAAATAATTTTCCAAATAATACTTTACCAAGTATTTGGCAAAAGGGTTGAATACTAAATAGTGGCTAAATATTCGTTACATCGCTATTTTGAATTGTACTTAAACAGGGTTGGCTATTCTATGAAATATATATCCTAAATTAGATTTGGAAGGACATGCAGGCTAAAATATATTAGCGTTTAAAACCTATAATACTGAGAATAGTTAGAATACCTATAACTTAATGTAATCACTATACACTTATAGAAATTATAGTTTACATAAAATAAATATTTAATTTCTTATTTTTATTTATAATGAATTTTAAGTGAATATCAATTAAAATTCTAGCAGGAGCACGATATTAAAACCAGGCTTTTAAACAGAAATTAGATATCTTTTCTACAATATACGTTTAACTAATATACGTTATATATGTTTATAAATATATAAAATATGTTAATATAACTATAACTTAATATACATTTGTAGATATATAAAATTGCAATAATATTTTAACAGTATCTTCTTCATCTGTTTATAAGTTTGACTGCTAAAATGTAACAGTATTCAAATTCATTGTAATCAGATAATAAGGATACAACCCCCTGTATATTGATAAAAATTTAGTGAATATTTTTGTTAAACAAACAAATAAACAAAATTTGTTAAACTAGTTTCATTTGTTGTGAAATTTAAAAAATTTCAATAACAATATTGATTAACAGTTATAAGTTTTAGACATGTTAATACAAAGAATAAATATAAACCTTTGAATAACCCATAATTTTAGGAAATGTATAAGTCGCACAAGCTTCTGGTGACTGGCCAAGAAAAGAAAACGGAGTCTGAAATGTTGCCTGCAAAAGAAAAAGAAAATACAGAGTTTCATGCATATTTTGGTCAGATTTTCAAACATTTAAATTTAACTTAATTTCTAATTTTGTGTTACAATGGATTCCATCAACTTTTACTTAAATATAGCCTTGCACTAGACTCTCAGGACTAATTTGCCATGTCAAAAGAAAATACAAAGTTTCAAACATATTCTGGTCAAATTTTCAAACATTTTAATTTAACTTAATTTCTATTTTATGTTATAATGAGTTGCTTCAACTTTTACTCGAATATAGCCTTGACTCTCAGGGCTAATTTACTTTACTAAATGCAATAAGAGTTAGATTGTAACATAAAAACTATATCTTACATATTTTAAAAGTAATTAAATATTATATAAAAGATATGTTCACACATTCCTAAAAGTTACAATTAATTTTTAAAGAGTCATAAAATATGTATAGGGTCTTAAAAAACTAAGCAACCAGTGAAATAAATTGAATTAAAGACAGATGTTTCGGAAGACAAAATAAAAATTACCTTATCAGATGCATACACAACATCACACAATCCAAGTAAAGTAACAGGTATGCCAACCGCAGGCCCATTCACAGCTGCTACCAATATCTTTGGAAAATCGATAAAGGCCCCAACAAATTCACTGAAATATATATTTTAATAGCATAACATATTTTCAATTCAATTTCATATTTCATATTTCATATTCAATTTCATATTTCAACAACACAGAATTATTTAAATAAAAAATATCCAACTTTAATTAACAAAGGATAAATCATAAACAACTGTTGTTATCAGAATTCACTTCAAGTCTTTCAGAAAAAGTACTTCAAAATGATTTTATTTAAACCATTTTTTTAGCTGACAAATGGTGATTTTTCAGGATTGCTTAAAATACAGAGACAATTTAATAAATTCAAACCAATTTTGGAATATGATTTTTTTTTCAGGGCAAGAAAAGGTTTATCAAGTTTACTTAAGGCTTATTTTAAAACTTACATAGCAATCACTAACATTTCAATAATTTTTTAAAAATACTCTAAATATTTATAGAATAGGCATTTTTTTACCTGGGATAGTCAAACAATGTCTCATATTTGGATAAGAGAAATTTTTTGAAAAATTTTGCCTACGCAAATTGTGATGAAATGTTTTTTAGAAAATTATAAGATATAAAATCATTAAACAATAGAACATCAATTTAGTTAAAACAAAAGAAAGTTTAGTTAAAACAAAATAAAGAGAATGAAATTCGAGCAAATTAGTGAATTTTTCTTCAATGACTCATATTGTTGCAGTTCGATTCTCAGTCTCATATTTATGCATTATTGATTCTACAGTACGTATAAACTCTAAACTATAAATTATTTTTGAAATTGATATAAACTAAGAACAGAATTCAAAGTAAATTGCAAACCTAATTTAACAAAAATCTACTTAGTTGATGGTCAAATGATGTTCTTGCCAATCCTGAGCAAAACATGTTGACTGAAGGTGCCTAATAGAACAGGAAGGGTTGAATAGAATGACACTATTTCTGCATTCCCTTCTTATTATATTCTTTTGCATAATTCAATCCTGATTAAACAGTGTACTATATTATAAAATTATTTTATTCCGAAAGAAGAAAGAAAATATAATAAGACTAACTTTAGCAGTTGTCCTGCCTTTTTAGCAGCAGCAGATATATCTTGATCAACAGATGCAAAGTTGCTTAAATCATTTCCACTACTGTAATAATCACCTTCACCTGAAAAATAATTATTTATTTTTGTAACATCAATGTTTTACATACATTTATTTATTCTTTTTGGATCAACATAAGTAAAATAAATTAAAGTTTGCTTTGTAGGGACAACAAAATGTTGTGAAGTTTTATTTTAATTGTGAAATTTTATTTTCCCCCACAACTAAATAATATTAAATAAAACAAATTAAAATAAAAATTTGTAAAGCATTTAGTTATATTAAATGCGGAATGAAATATTTATGTTATATTCTAGAAGTTGCATGTTTACAAACAAAATAAGATTTAACAACATTGTTGGCAGGGCGAGCCCAAGAAAAAGCAGCATAAGACAAAATTTATTTGCGGGGCCTGCCTTACATATATATATAAAATAAGTTATTAAAAACTATCAAATTTTAATTTTTTGACAACTTTAGTAGAATAACAGATAAGAGGAAGATCTTAATACCCATATCAATATATTTTCTCCCATTTTTTATATTTGATCCTAAATATTAAATTTTAATTCTTATGCTTTTATTAGTTCTAATGCTCTAAAAATGCCATTATTTTTCTGTAAATAATAAATACTTAAGCACATATGTGTGTTTTTAATTATTTATATTTAATAATTAATTTAAAGCATTTTAAAGATTGATCTGTTCCAGATTAATAGTGCCATGTTTAGTAGTTCAATAATAAAAAGTTTAATTAATAAAAATATGACAAATTATTTAAATAAAGCCAAATTCTACAAATGCAAAGTACTGTGTTTCAAGGTTTGCACTATAAGGATCTTCTATTATAATATGAACACAAGAGTAACCTTTAAAATTATACTTCATAGAAGAAAAAGGTACTAAAAATAATATGATGATTTGGGACTATCAGTTTTTATGAATAATATATGTGAAATTAAGTGTGAAGACAATGCGTTTTGACTCAAAGTGAGCCACACAAAAGCCAATTCACAAAAAAAGAGTGAATATAATTTTTAAACAAGAAGAGTACGAATAATAAATTTATTGTATCCTTTGAAAAAAATCATGCAGGTTATGAATAATTATAAATTAGGACCTTCTAGGACTTAGGATAAATCTTCGTTCATTCCAAAGAGATTCAGGATATTTTACATCAAGTGTGTGGAAACATCAAAAGGATAGAATGGTTTTTAAAAAAATTTGTCTAAAACTTTTTCTTAATCAAATGACTTAATTTCGGTCATTAGATTAGAATGACAAGTTCAGTGTGACCATTGTAACAGACATTAAAATAACATTGTGTTTATAGAATAGCAAATGGAAACTCATGCATTGGTCGTTATAATAGAAGAGTTGGTGTAACGGGATGTCTTACTGAAGAACCTAAATTTCATAACAAAATAGAGCACATGGATTATAATAGGACAAAATATTCAGAAAAGTAAACACAGTACCTGTGAGAATAGTAATAGCAGTGTCATTTTCACTTGCTTCTTTTAAAGCTAACGCAATGTCTTTGTACATCTTCAAAAAACAAAATAGTGTTAATAATTATATTAATTCAAAAGTTGTGATGAAATAGCTTTTAAACACAAAATTAATTTATTTTCAGAAAAGAAATAGGGGGAAACCTCCAGGAAAGACCATCTCTGTGTAGTGACCACCTCTATTTACGACCATTTTTGGGAGACTAGGAATTTTTTCCGAAGGCTTCATGTTGAAGAAAACTTTTTGGAGAGATCATCAAAACCTCTCCCAGCGACCAGGATAACCTCTCCACCAATTGTGGAAATGATCAAATAAAGGAAAACGAAAAAATATCAAAACAATAAATATCGATAAAACAAATATATATATATTCAAAATATTTGTGTGAGGTTCTTGTTTAGATAGTTCTTTTTGATGATCTCGGAAAGAGATCTACAACCACAACGTTACAGTCAGAATTCAACAAAGAGGATGATTTATTTTTAAAGATGAAAGTTAAATTAGAGAAGAAAATAAAATTATTTTAGGAAAAACTAAGCGTTTCAAACAAACAAACCTCATCTCATTTTTTAAAGCTAACTAATTTTTATGCTATAAAATTAAATGCAAACTTAAATAAAAAACATAATTGTTATTTATTTAACAGTGTTTTCATCATAGAAAAAAAATGGGGGAGAATTTCTCACCCTTTCTCAAAAACAGGGTGAGATTTCAGAAAGTTAAGTAAGATTTCTAAAAACTGAAAAAATACAAATAGACTTGAAAAAATTTTTTCTTTCATTATAATACATTTTTAACGTCTTCTATTTTTTAAAGCATTGAATATTCTTGCTGCATCATCATAGAAGATTTTGCCTTTACTAGGTATTTGTCCATCTTACATTAGTGCATAAAAAATTTGAACGTCTTACATGAAAAAACCTTACCTGCGGTAAACACGTGGTTGCAGAGAAATGTGTTCTGAAAGGGGTTCCGTGGTTCGGAGGGGTTGTGTTCTGTTGTTCGAAAAAGTTCTGAACAATACTGGCATATAGGAAAGCTAGATAACGGGGCAAATGTTGAAAATAATGAAAGATCCAGGAAGAAAAGTGAAATGGATTTTATTCTAATTGGCGTAATTCGAAGCTTTTTCCAAAGTGCGAGAAATTCGCGAATTTTGAAATTGATTTATAGAATGCGCGTATTTCTCGCGGCAATCATTTCTTAATGTGAGAAAAGAAAAAAATATGCGAGATTCTCGCGTTCTCGCGCTGTAGTGAAAACACTGTTTAAAATAATTCTATCATTCATAATTGGTAAATTTATTTTTACACATAATTATATCAGTAAGGATCATTTTCCTCAGAGCTAAACTTGATTCATAGATCCGTCTTTTCATGAAGCCAACAGAAGCAGTATTTCTGTACCAAGAAAATGACACTGACCACAATTAAAATCTGCGAAAAATCATGAAAATTCGATAACATTTTAAAGTCAATAGAGGGAACATCTAAGAATGGTCCATTAATGACTGTGGAACAGAGAATGATCACTCTTGAGAGATTTCACTGTATAAATCACATTACTACTACACAAGTAAACCCAATACATAATATTTCAAAACACAATTTTACAAATCTGGGAATAAAAAATACAATCACTTTTTTTATTATTTTGCATGTTGTAGTTAATTTACATCTCACAAGAGCTGCACGATGGGCTATTGGCGAGGGTCTGGGAAACACCCCTGAGGATGATCCGAAGACATGCCATCACAATTTTGATCCTCTGCAGAGGGGACGGCATCCCCGCTTCGGTAGCCCGACGACCTGTATGTGAAGTCGAGCACTTTACGGTAGAACAGTTTAACGAGGACCCATACCGCACACCCTCGGTCCCTACGCAGACTGATCCAAGTGGTCACCCACCCGCACACTGACCGCAGCCAGTGATGCTTGACTTCGGTGATCTGCTGGGAACTGTGTATTAACGATCAGTCCAATTATTATTTCGCATAGACCCTTTTATTTATTTATTAATATTTTTTTTGTTTATTCAAACTGCGATAATGCTATCTCAATACATTTCATTTAGAAATTTTCAACCTCCTTCTTATTTCACATTAAATTTCACTTTGCGTCTAGCTATTAACTGATAACTGTTAACTTTGCCGGGCTCTGAAGATTCGAATGGATGCACAATCCATTGCTGACCCTCCACCGAAGAGGTGAATATCTTTTTTAAGTACTTTTTGGATGAGCTCTTTTAAATCGAACATAGTTACTCGTTTATGCATGTAAATATATAAAAAAAATTATTTAGGAGCATTAGGAGGAGAAGGAGAAACAAGCTTTTTTAACTCCAACCCTAAAATGCATTTACTCATGCCCTGATGGCATCCTTTTAAATTCAGTGCTTGCCGAAAATATTATGATGCAAATATTGATGTCTTGTTTTGAATAAAAAGAAGAACCAGTTTTTGTGATGAAAGTTTGTCTTGTTGGACCATGTCCATGTGTGCACATCAAGCAAGGAATAAAATTGACTGAGGGGAAGAAGCTGAAATATATGCGAAGCAGGACCTTCATTCATCTTCCATTATACAGCTTTCTCGGCATTGACGTTGGCAGCAACAACCATACCTCACATTCATTTCTTTCTTATATTGTTACCAAAAAGCAGAACTGCCAACTTTCTAAGTTTTGGGGGGGAAATTTCTTCGAATGGTAGACAAGTTTATGTTTCAATGTATGATTTTTTGTTTTGTAAATTTGGTTTAGGTTATTTTTCGTATCATACTAAAAATAAGAAATAGATTCCAAAAGCCTACCATTTGCATATTCATTTACTTTACATTAATATTCATTTACTTCATTTCATCACTAATTAATAGTAAAGTAAACTTATTATTTACTTCACTATTATAATTAGATCGAAATTCCCCTTTTTAGTAAGATATAATGCGATGGAAAAAAATTATAAAACAACATTTCATTAGATGTGTAAAATAATGATCGGAAGTCGTTATGGGGAAATCTTTAGAGGAAGGTATTGGCACACATTGGGCTGCCTGGCCAACTATGATGATGATGATGCGTAAAATATTAAATCATGTAAAGAAAAAAAAAGGATAAAAAATAGATGTTTATTTACTTTAGTGGTGATGGCATTTTTCTTTTCTGGGCGATTAAATCGTAATTCTGTGATGTCACCACTGACTGATAGTTTTATTCCTTCATACTTCAATTCCTGTATTTCAGCACTTTGTTCACTTTGTTGCTTTTGATCAAACAGTCCATTAATTAGAGATACATATTGACTTTTTGCTTCATCCTAAGGAAATAATAATTTTGATATTATTACATTCTTTTCTTCAACTTCTTTTACAAAAAATATATATATATATATGAAAAATTTTAAATTTTTTGCTTTACTTATTTTTTCTAAATATTTTGTTCAATAGTGACCTTTGTCCTCATGAGAATGTTATTTATTTACAGATCACAATTTTCGCTTGCATGCACTTAGTAAATATCATTGATAACAAAAACAAAAAATTGATCTGTTAACAAAAAATTAGTACATATCAATCTCAAGTTTTTAAGAATTCAAATAAATAAAATCATGTTGTTAGTCTTTGAATTAAAGCTATAACAGATTGGCCAAAAATAGTTTTTGTTAATAGATAAATGAACTAAACATATTAATTGAAACAACACACTTATTATTCTTTTATGTTTCTACAATTATGCCAATTATTGTAATTACCCAAATTTTGTATTATCAGCGTAATTTTTTATACATAAAATATGTAATACCTATTATTCAAATAGATGATAATTCTATAATTCTTTATATGATTTTTGTAAATGATATTCACTTAGAAAAATGTACTAAAACTTGGTAACATTCTGCAAGAATGTCTCTGTGTCACTATGATTCCGTCATGGGGAACACAAGCATTATATCAACATTTTTTATTCAATATTATTGATTTAATAAAAAATAATAGCATAATTTAAAACTTTAAAATTACATAAAGAATTTTCTAACCTGAGATAAAGAGCCAAGTGTGTTCCATGCTTCCCATTTTGCTTTGCCAACCATATCAAATACAGATGGCTTAGTTTGAGAACAGGGTCCTTCGGTTGCCTAAAAATGAAATGCAGATCTTACTATATTACTTATTACACACACAATAAAAGAGGAATCCATCATGAACACTCAAAATATTTTCTTAACATAGTTTTAATATCATTTCCTTGGAAAACAGTAGAATGAATGACACACTGAAGGTTAGTCAAACATTAAATACTAGATCCAAACAATTGGTGGATTTTGAGAATTATACCATTAGGGTTTTAATCAACCCAAAATTTTTTAAATACAATCAAACCTCATAAATCCAAAATTGCTTAACATGAAATATTGCTTTGCATGAAATATATGTTTGGTCCTGTGAGTCAGCAATCAATTATTATTGTATTTCACAAGTTACGCGTGAGCTTATTTTAATTTGTTTGGTACATAATTGTATTGTTTACATACATCAATGTAGTATATAATATGTAGTAATATTACGTAATAAATTGTTTTAATGATGCATCGGATAAGATGAAATCCGGTTAACATGAAATCATCCTGATAGTCCCTCCGATTTCGAGCTAACGAGGTTCACGACTGTATTCAGTTTGAACTTTAAATTTTCGATTAATTTTTGAATTATCCTAATTATAGGTTATAATAATGCTCAATAGCATTGCAACTTATGTTTATCTATCAAAATATATAAAAATATGAGATCAAAAAAAAAATATATACTAATAAAACAGTCTTTAATGATATTGTATTATTGCAATGCAAGTTAAGGTATCTGTGACTAGTGCAAAAATATTATGGGCAAAATTGAGTTTATTATAAATTTTGAATCTCTGTACTCTTAACTTTCTAATAACACTTCACTTTTGTTTGTACTCCAATTGTTTACAAAGTTATAGCTTCATTTTTTTTTTTTTTTTTTGCAAAATAATAACAGTGGATAGACTAATGATTTTAAGTCTTTAAATGTGTTTATCTCAAAGTCAGATTGTTTCACATTTTACACTACCGTAAACATGATTTCTCATGTTGTATTTAAAATAATTGTCTACAATTTTTCATGAGTGTTTATGATTATAAAACACATGTTCTGAACTATAGACTAAGAGAATAAGAGTAGAATTTTATATTTTATGCATGTTTTTTCCAAAAGGCAAGTGCTGAAATTTTTAAACATTTGCTTTTTTAACTACATTGATCGCTAAATCAGTAGTATATGCACTTGCTTTTACAATTATAGTTCAAAACACAGTTGATATCCTTCTAAATAAAATCCTCAAAGGATTTTTTGTTTTAGGAGATAGAAATTTTTTGCAGTGTTTAGTATATATGCAAAAAGTGCCTTATTTTTACCAAAAAATGGCCATTTTGAAAAAAAATAATTATGTAAAAAACTTTTTTAGCTAGTTTTATAAGTGTTTACACCAGGGTTTGAAAAAACCCGGGGATTTTTGAAAAAACCCAACCCGCCTGGGTTTTATTGAAAAAACCCGGGGAAAATTGGGTTTTATTTGAAAAAACCCGGGGAAAATTGGGTTTTTTCATTTAGTGCTCATAAATTTTACTGTGAAAATATTTTTATTTATTAAATAGTGTTGTATAAGTAAACACTAAAATTTCATCTGACTTTTACCTGTAATAAAATTAAACTGGAATAAATATTTAATGGTCTTCAATGTTTTTATAATACGATTAATAGAAAGTGAAATTAAAATTATGTATAATTATAAAGAGTATCAGTTACTTGTCCCTTTTTTCAAATATTTAGATAAATATATGCATTTTAACTTTATAGTTTCAAAAAACAAATTAATCTTAAAATTATAAAAAAGCATATATAAAAAGTTATAGCTCATTTTTTTAAAATCAGATAATAAAACTTTAAATTTGTTTATTGTTGTTTAATGTATCACTTAATAAATTTTTTTTTGTTTGCTTTCAATATTTTTAAACATGATTAAAAGAAACAAAATAAATTGTATTCAAATGAAATCTTATAAATAATATTTAAAAAATCTTAAAAGTAATATTTTAATTTTTAACTGTTTTTTAATTGTGATAAACTTTCTCCAAATAGTTAAAAATTGTCAGCAGATGTTAAGAGTTAACTTTAAAAAAAAGGTCAATTTTTTCCTTTATTATTATTATCATACAACAGATTCAAAGTGTCTACATTTCTCTCTTAGATGGCAATACACTTTTACGAGTTTTGTAGCTTTATCTATTCCTAATCTATTTCGAAGTTTACTCTGCACCAAACCGAAAGTTGAAAAGTGTCTTTCGATAGAGACAGAGGATGCTGGTGCTGAGTGCAAAGAAAAAAGAATTGACAGAAATTTTGTGGAAGCTAGGAATTTTATTTATTTACTTATTTTTTTTTTTTTTTTGCCATAATTTTCCACTATTTTTTGATGAAAACTGTTCAATAACAGTGTCAAGCATCATTGATTTTGGAAAGTATTCAGGATCGGAAATTTTGGATGCCATAACACGTGGCAGAAATTCTGGATGATGCTTAGAAAGACAGCTTTCTGCTAATTGGTCTTGTTCATCATTTAAAAATTGTCCCCTTGTTTCGGGATCCAGGATGCATATGCTGATAAATGATGTGGCTGAACAGCCTGATCTTTTAACAAAATGTTTATGGGATTCTAATTCATCACACGATAGTAAGTTAATTCATATTTCAACAGGTTCTGAAATTGAAATGTTTTCTGGTTGAAGCTTTTTTAAAGCTTCAGAAACAATTGATATCTGTTTTTCCCAATTGATAGTTTATTGGTAAAGCCCAACATTATTTAATTTTTTTGACATATAAAATTGTTCAAGAACAATCTCTTCATATTTATGGTAATTATTGGCAAAAGTTTTTACGCGCTCACAATATGAATTCCACCTAGTATCATTTGGTCATCAAGCAGTTTTTTTCATTTGCCCATCCATGTGCTTGATGCACATTTCTAAAATATTTGTTAACTTCAACGATATGTCCAATGATAGTATTAGGAGATACTTCTTTTTGAACCAAATTTTAAAAAAAAAACAATTTGTGAAAAAAACCACCAAGTGGGTTTTTTCAAAGTGGGCCCACTTGGGGAACCCTGGTTATATGTATTTTATATTAAGTTTAAATAACGCATTATCACTAATACATATTTGAATCTTCTTTATTTTTAAGTACATTACGTTTCATAATTTTTTAACTCAAGAATTATAAAATATAAATGCAGTAATATAAAAGGAACAAGTTTATTAATCTTTTTGTTTTCACACACATTTATTTACTATATTTATTAAACATATGGATATTACCTATTATAAAATTATAATCTGTAAATATTTATAATCAGTAAAAACTAAAATTTCATCTGACTTGAGTTAAATAAAAAACTGAAATAAATATTTAATGGTCTTACATGTTTTTATAATAAGATTAATAGAAAGTGAAATTAAAACTACGTATAATTATAAAGAGTATCAGTTACTTGTCCCATTTGTTTTCAAAGAATTAACCCTAGGAAAATGATTTCATTTTTAGATAAATAATTTTAAAAAATTCTCTTATAAAAAGTTTCAGCTTCTTTTTTTTTTAAAGCCAGAAAATAAAACTGTTTAAATTTGTTAATGTATCACTTGGTAAAAAAAGAAAAAAATTGTTTCTTTTCAATTTTTTTAAACATATGAATTAATAATAATAACTTGTTTATTAATATATAAAGCATGCAACTATATTCGAAAAATTGATCTTTTCAGACTATATTATTTAAATTATTATTTGATTTAATATCATTAAAATATTACTTTTTGAAAAAACCCACTTAAAGTTTTCAATAGTACCTACTATAAAACTATATGAAGATTCGAGTTTCTTTTACTTTACTAATATTAAAAACTTAATCACATAAATCATGCAACTCTATTTGACAAATTTATGCTGCACAATAAATTATATAAAAGTAAATGCAAAACAATAAGTTTTAGTAAAAAAAAAAAAAAATTTTTGAAAAAACCCACTTATCGTTCCAAGTGGGTTTTTTCAAGGTGGGCCCACCCAATAAAACCCTGGCAGGTTTTTTCAAAGTGGGCCCACTTGGCGAACCCTGGTTTACACATAATGAAACCAAGAAAAAAAAACTAGTTCCTTAAAACTTTGTATTAATATTTCAAAGAAAAGATGTTGAAACTAGTGGGATACCTTAAGTAAATAATTTCACCCAATCTTTCTTAAGTAAATAATTTATGTTTACTCACTAACTTTACTATCAAGCCTGTACCGGACTGTAGAAGTTGTATGCTAAAGGGGTAGGATTTGTGATTTGCAGACAAGAGGTATATGAGCAATGCTTATGAAAAACATTAAATTCCTTTTATGGGAAAAAAACTTTTGGACAATTCCATGGTGTCATATGTAAAAAGTAAACATAAATTTCTAAGAAAAAATTCCCCCATTAACTATAAGTTAAGCTTTAAATGGTCTAAAATAACCAAAACTAAACTTATAAATGATTTTTGAGCAATAACTAAATTATACTTCAGCTAGTAAACTATAGCTATTGTATAATATAACCACTATATCACAGTGTTGCCTCTAAGCGTTTCTAGAAGGGCTGCTCGCTGCACTTGCTTTTTGATCGCTATAAATGCGCCCTCCTTGCCCTTTCAGTAAAAATATGCCGCCATCTTTTTAAAATGCTGTCTTTTTAGTTTTTCAAGAAAGATTGTTTTCTTAACCACCTCTGTTAACCCCTTAACGATCGGTTGATTTTCAAGAAAACGGTCATAAAAGTTCCTATTTTTTCGGCTTTTGTATTTGTATTACGTATTTGATTAGTGCTGCAACTAGTTTAAACTAAACTATCTATCTGTAATAACTTTAAAAATATTCTGTTATTGCTATCAGGTGTGTAAAATGAGAAATAAAATGTTTTCCGGGCAAAAGAAATGAATTATTCTTATTTGAGCATTACTACTGAACACTCCAGCACGTCAATATCACGGGAGCGAGAAATAGTGGGCGAAAACTCACCCCGTCATTTTCACGGGAGGGAGAAGGAAGGGGTTAATGAGAAATCCATTTTTTATTTATTTTGTTATAGATAATTATTTAAAATTAATATATATTATCATTTCGTCATCTTAGAAAGAATTTTTTTTTTTGATGTTGTCTAATTGGATAGTTAAAATTGCATAAGATTCGGTCTCAAAATTCTAGGGTATATCAATGAATTTTTAGTGATTTTAAATTTTACCATTTAATTTATTTTAATAAATAAATTTTTATTTAAAAATTTTCCTTTATGTTTATTTTCTCATAATTTTCAGTTTAAAATGTTCAAAAAAAGAAAGATTTAAAGTTGTTTATCAATTAATATTTTTTTAAAAATTACTTTCTTTTTTGAAGAACAAGAAGAAGATTTTTACACAGAGATTGTCTTTCAGTTTGCCTTTAATTATTTTTCAAAAGCATTTTCTATTATTTTAATAATGAGTGAGAATTACTTTGTGAAATAGGCACTTATACAACAGTAATTTAAAAATTGAGGATCCAATTCAGCTATTACATATTTTGATAAATTTTAATGGAGTTAAGTGAGTGCCCTTTTCTGCAAATAATCATCCGACCCGTTTCTATTCCTAGGTAGAACTTTGATAATATTTATTAAAAACGCGAAACATATTTTACATTAAAGCATTTCATGTCTTAGCTTTATTAAGCTCAGTAAATTAATGGTGCAAAATATAAGAGATTATTAGAAGAATTTGCTTTCAAAATTAAATAAATCAATTATTTCTGAGCATAAAAAACTTTGCCTCAAAAACTAGAACACCTCCACTCGAATTCAGATTTGGAATTTTTAACTGATATGACTAAAATGCCGGTAACTTAAATAAATTCAATGTAGAATTTGATACATTTATTGGATAAAAAAGTATTATTTGCTTGAATTTATTTTTTTCTTTCTAAAATTTGAAGAAAAAAAAATAGTTTTATTAAAGAAGATTAATTTTTAAAAAAAATTATAAGAATATAAGCTAACTGAATACCAAATACCAGAGTGCTTCTGTCCTGTTTCTGTACTCCAAATAAATTACAAATATACAGTGGGGGGAGGAAAAGTCATGTTACACTTACTTGCTTAAATAAAGCGTACATCTTTAATTTCACATCATTTCCGGGATCTTTTTCCAATGTTTTTGCTTTGTCGCATGCCTGTTGAAACGTCAGAGAGCTATTCATTCTTACAGAGGTAGAAAATGACTTCAAAAGATAGATGCTTTTAGACGATCTAGAATGATTAACAAAATATTGAATAAAGAATTAATAATATATTATCTTTAAACTAACAGGTGATATCTAATCTAGATATGGAAAGGAAAATTATTGATAACAATCATAATACTTAGAATAAGGCAGAAAAATCGATGGTCGCAAACTAGATGAAAGTTTTCTGATAGAGGAAAAAATTATAGACATTTTAATTCACATAAATTAATTGATTGGTTATTATTTATCGTTATACCGTGTTGATTGATTCGACGAGTGATTCAGCCTTAGTTCTAAAAGGAAAATTACTCAAATATTTGTACTTGTACTCAAATACTGATACTTGTTTAGTTTTCTATTTCTGCCCTGCATAAGGTCCTTTTACTTATGTCAAGATCTTGGGTCAATTTAAATTTTACGGCTCTTATGCACCAGAGTTTCATCAATGCAGGCAGAGAAAGTAGGCAGAGGAAAGCGTTCTCACAAAATTCTAAACAAAACGTCACCCTTGTTTTGTTTTGTCATTCATATTTAAATCATTTAAATTCGTGATGTCAATCACCGGTATTAATTTTGAAATTAACAACAAAGAAGAAGCGAAAAGGGCATTTGAATTGCTTGTGGAAAAAGAGGTTTCTGAATTTAAATATACTTATATTTATATTTCTTCCACTTTTTTTCGCTTGCACCTTTGAAATAATCGGACAAATTTGTACGTAACTCATTGTGTTTGTAAATGCGGTAGTAATTATTCTAATATGTCGTAAGTTTAGGTTAAAAATTAATTCTCTTCGGGGGTTTTATAAAAAGGTTGGGGGGGGGGGTTATCATATCGACGACAAGTTAGTGACGAGTTCTGTTTGCTCGCCGAAGAAGGAAGATTACTTTGATTCTTATCAACATTTTAATAAAAAATATCAATACGAGATTTTATTGTGTGAATACAAATCTCGATGTTTGATTTTATCATCGTGTAAATACAAATCTCGATGTTTGATTTTAAAATCGCATGAATACGAATATCGATGTTGGATTTTAATATTGTGTAAATACAAATCTCAGTGTTTGATTTTAGCATCGCATAAATACGAATCTCAATATTAGATTTTAAAATCGCAAGAATGAAAATTTTGATGTTTCATTTTAAAATTGCGTAAATAGGAATTTGGATATATAATTTTTAAGACACTTGAACACAAATTATAATACTGGCTTTTAAATCGCATGAATACAGAACACTATGTGTAATATAAAATCGTGAAAATATGAAACACTCTGCTTGATCTTTAATTGCGTAAATAGGAGTCGAGATGTGTTATTTTAAATCACTTGAATGTCATTTTAAATTGCGTTTGCATTGGTTGGCGAAAGCGTAAAACTAAAACTTTTTTTTCCTCGGTAATACAAACATGACAAGTTTTCTTTGAAGAGATGGATTATATATATATATATATTTTTGTAATAATAAAAAGATTTCCGCAATTGTGACAAATTTTCTACGAAAGGCATTTGCTTGTTTGTGTACATTATATGGGTCTGATAGTATATGTAATAATTGTTGTAACTTGGTGTAATACAGTAAGTGTACCCTGATCATTTAATGTAAGTGAATTTTCTTTAAATATAATAAATATTTTTCAGTTAAATACTGAAATTTAAAAATTGCTTTGTTTTCATTTTTTAAAATATCTATTACATTTTAAGTTTTCGATAATTTAAGTTTTCAAAAATTTGAGGTTGGCTTGGTTCCGTTCAGCTTGAATTATCGAGACTCAATTGTAATTATCGTGACTCTACTAAAATTGTATAATCTATATTCATTAATTGATTCAGATCTTTAAATATATAACTAATATTTAGTTTGCCTGTAAAGTTTCTACTAGAAGTAACTTCTTAGCCAGAAAAATAATCTTTTATCAAAAGATTAAATGTTTATTTGACATCTGCATAAATAACTTAAAAACAATGTCAAGTATAGATATCATATTTTATGAAAATTAATTATCTCATAATTTGTTTTTTAATATTTTTACGTATAATAGATGCTTTGAATAGTTTTGATTAATTTTAAAAGTAGAATAAAAGAATACATACCTATAAATAACTAAGAGAATTCGCCGAATTAAGCCAACTTTTGGATGAATATGTTGAGTCAATGTGAAAACATTTTTTTTTATCAGTAAATTTTCCCAGACCAACAACAAACTATTATACATATGTTCCAATTACCATAGATACTGGAATTATTGTTTAAGAGGAGAAATATAAGCAAAGCTTCCTGAGGCTTGAAATAAATATGTTGATGAAATAAATGTGTTGATGAGATTCTCATTTGATTTTTAAATCATTGTTTTAGTTATTGAGCATTAAAGTAATTATGTAATTTGCAGCAAAAACTTGATACTGATTTAAGGAGATTCTTAGAAGAACATGACCATCAGGATGATAAAATGATTTCTTTACAAAAAATGGTGTAAGTATTTTAATAATTTCAAATTATATGATTTGAATAATTTTCCTGCGAAATGTTATTAACAAATCGCAACACCTCGAAATAACCACTCCTCACCAAGTGGCGAGTCAACAAAAGAGAATAGTGATTAATTAAACAACCGGTCATTTTTTTCAGTGTTTTTTTTTTTTTTTTTTTTTTTTTTTTTTTTTTTAAGATAAAAGTACATGATTGCAGAACGACTATGGAAAACGGAGTTTACATTAAAATGCTCAATGTCTCTTTAAAGGAAATTTGGTCAATTTTAGTTATTTAAGTTATTTGATAGGAGCTGTTCCAGTTTTATGATGGAGGTAAACTCATTGCATTTTTGTGAAGATTTTGGCCAAAAATAGAAATGATTTTTGGTAAATTGCATTTCTTATGTCATGGGGATTAGTTCCAAAGAATTTTAAAAAAAAAACTGTTGATTTATTTTTAGAAATATTATTATTAGATGGTCATCATATATCTAAAACAAAAAGTGTTCCCTTATAGGGATATATTCTCCCATCAAAATTTTCGTAAAGTTCATTAAACGGTTGGACCTAGGGTTGAAACCCTCCAGTCCTAACTCCAAGAATTCAAAATTAAATGTAATTTAATTGTTCCCAACAGACAGTTAAGAGCATGGGAAGAGATCCATAGCTGGCTATTTATCGGAAGATAAAATAACCAAAAATGAAGCCAACCTCCCATAACTAATATTAAATTTGAAATAAATTGGCTATAGCTTAATCGCCAAAAAGACTGTGAGAATTAATATAACCGTTTAACTGAAACATTATTGTGGTAAGAGAAATAAAGTAACTTAAGGAATAAATTAGTATGTAACAGTAAATTAATGAGTTTTACATTTGTATTGAATTAAAAAGTTAGCCGTTACATTGATTGTTAAGAAGAGAATAAAATATTCATATTTTCTTTTTATAAAATGTAATAAATAGTGAACAAGTGATTTAATTTAAATAAAATTATATTAAAATAATTAAAAAAATTTAATTTACGAAATCAAATAAATCTTGAAAGCTAGGAAATGTGCAATGCCTATTAAGGCATTACAGTCTTCTTTCAAAATTTTGATCCTTCTGAGTTCATGGAAACACTCATGTGGAAGAATAGTTAACAATTTACGATTTTAACGATTCGCATATTTCAAAGAGATGTAATGTATGCTTTAAATGTCTTTTGTCACAGATTTATATTATTTTTATTGCTGAATTAACTTTTTATAGCTGTAGTTTATTTCTAATATGATTTTTTTTTAAATATATAATTTAATTCAAGCAACAACAAAAAAGTTTTCAAAAGGTGGCTATTAAATAAATTAAAAAAACAATCATTATGAGTCACCAACAAAAAGGAGGAAAAAAATGGTTATTAAGTTATCGGAGTCTAGTGGCTACTAACTGACAATTTAAATTTTCAAGTCCGGATATGTTTATGGCTTGAAATAGCATAGCAATATTTTTGTCCGTGCTTGCTTTTATACATATTTTAATAATCTAAATATATATATTTTTTTAAGGCCTCAACTGCAGCTTGTTCATTCTGATGCTACTCAGTTATCTAGCATGGTTTCTTTTACTTCAGCTTTGGCTGAAAACATTAGTAGCAAAGTCAAGCAGTTAGATATCACTAGAGTAAGTGTATAAAAGTTATTTATGTTCATTTCTGATTTGTGTATCAAAATTATGTTATTCTTAATGACGAATCAATATTATACCATTCTCTAGTACCCATGCTTTTAATGATTTCTCAATACAGTGAAACCTCTGGGAAAGGCTACCTCTGTTTAGCAAAGTCCTTTATTTGCAACCACTTTTGGGAGGCACGAAATTTTTTCCATAGACTTTTGGGTTGAAGAGAACCTTTAGAAAAGACCACCAGAACCTTTTCCAGCGAATGGGCAAACCTCCGCATCAAATTCTTAAAGGAAGCACACGAAAATATGGAAACAAAAAATTTTAACCATTTCAAAGTACTTATTAAAATAATATACAAATATACTATCCTTCAAAATAATTATAAATATAACTATTTTAAAACACTTGAGTGCCACATTACAAAATTTCTGAAACCTTGATTAATAGTGATATATATTTATAGCTTTTCAACGACATTATGCAATCCTTATGAATTCATAACATTCCTTACACCTATCTTCTAATTCACTGGTGCAGCAGCCCTGGGTGGGCCCTGGGCTTCTTTATGAGTTTCTACCAACTGTCCCTTTGTTTAGCAACTGTTCTCTAGTTTTTAATTCCATACACCTATGTAATGGCCAAGGTCAAACTCTTATCTCATTAGTATTGTATTTCCCATCATGGCTTGCTTTGTGATTCTGAAAGTTATAAAAAACCCTTTTCACAAATTTGCTTCTTAAGCTTTGAATCAACTTGTATGCAAATTATTTGAAATACTGTCAAAAATGTTGAAAGCACTTTTGGGCAAAAATAATAATAATAAATAAGAAAATTGAAAAGTTGCTTTTTCTTATCTAAATTAACCAGGAAAATTATTAGATAATGGATGAGTCTTGAAGAAAAAAAACATTGAAAATTTCATTCTGACAAATATTGATTTTGATATTAAATTTCTTTCTTTCTTTCTTTTCATACTTTTTTTTAGAGCAGAGTTTTAGAATGTATGCAGAGAGTTGAAGACATTTTAGATTTAAAATTCTGTACAGATGGTGTTCAAACTGCTCTTCAAAATGAAGATTATGAACAGGTTTGTAAAACAGAATTTTAATTGCTATAATTATATTAATGTGGTACATTCAGTTGTTTAAGTTCACATGACAGAATGTTAGTTTACATTCAAAATCAAAAGTTTTTAGCTGAAGGAAAATTACATTAGTTAATATCTGAAAGTAGTTTAGTTAAAGTTTCTATTCTGTAAATTTTGTTTTAAAAAAAAGTTGTTTTAAGCATTAAAAAGACTGTAAAAACTTCAACTTTATGTTCCTAAAACCTAATTATATGCAAATAAAAATCATGTGTTATCTTACAAATTGCAGTTGCTTTAATTATTTGTATAAACTGATAAAAATCAGAGTTTATTGAGGTTTAATACACTACATAACATACAATGTTATTATTTTATTTTCAAATTTCCTTTCATTATTCTCAACAAGTAAAATAAAAATTTCAATTAGTTTTATTAATAAATAAGAGTGCTATAAAGCAGGGTTTGTTGATTTAAATCAGCTTGATCTAAATCACGATTTAAATCATGATTTAAATCAAATGATTTTTTTAAAAAAATCATGATTTAAATCAAATGATTTTTTTAAAAAAATCATTGATTTAAATCAAAATTTTTTTTATCTATATATATTGATTTTAAAAGTCAAAAAACAGTGTATTTAAATTTTTGATACTTTTCTTTTCTTTTCTTAATATTAAAATTTAATTTAAATAAATTGCTGCATTAATTAATTTTAGTTAATGAAATTACTTTTTTGGTGTGTGTTAAATTCCAACACATTTGAAATTACATTTTTAAAAATGTTTTGATTCTTGAGATTGAAAGTACAGATTAAAGTAAACATTTAATGCTGTCTTAATATAGACTTGCATAGCTGTAGAAAGTAATTANCTTCAAATATACTAAAATTGTCAAAACCAGAATTAAGTGGAAAAATCAAGATTGGTGTATAATAGAGGATTTTTTTCTTCAATTGCTTAGGTGTATTGATGTTGAAGTAAAATAGCCTAAAATATGTAATGGCTTTAACAAAAAAAAATTTTTTTTTAAAAAAAAAACACTTTTATTTTTTTTTACCATAAATTAATATACCATTCTATTTGCATATAATTAGGTGTTAGGAACATAAAGTTGAAGATTTTGCAGTCATTTTAATGCTTAAAACAACTTTTATTTAAAATCATTGATAAATTTTTGTTTTCTATGAAATTTTAATTTTCAATACCTGAAATCTACCTAGTACCTGGTTTCACATTCATCATCACAAATGTAATTAGATTATTGTATGGAAAATGTTACTTGCATGCCTTTAAGCATATAAGAAAGAGTATTGGATTGTTGAAGTGTCGTATAATCAGAGGTCAAATAATCTTGGTTCCACTCTAAATATTAAATATTTAATGATTGAGATTTTCTCCTTTGCTGCAATGAAGAAACCTGATTTATTGTTCTGGATAAAAATCTATAAAGAAATTTTTGATTTCTTGTAACAGTTTTTTGTAATAATACAGAATTGTATTGAACGGATACAGTAAAACTCTTAATTATCAGACGTGTGTACATATGACACTTCAGTTGCGTGTAACCTCTCTTAGGCCTGTAAAAGCATTCCAACACATGTTTCATCATTTTTGCAGTTGATAATTCCTAATTACTAGAAAATTAATAATAATAGTATATAATTGCAGTAGTACCCTATTGCTAGTAGAGAGATCATGTTGTTAAAATAGACGAAGTACGTACCACAAAGAAGGTCTGCTCTTCCTGACCAGTTGGCACATGGAGAAGAAGCTGGCCAAATCTAAAATAGATCGATGGATTTGAAAAAAACCTATTCTTAGGGACCAAGAATTGAGAAACACTAATGGGAAGAAGCTTGAGAAGGCTTAGGCCCAACCTAGGATGTTGAAACATTAAGTAGAAAGAAAGTTCCAAATTACTATTGCTTTTAAGGCTCTTGTGCCATATTACAGAGATTCTGTAAAATCAACAAAATGCAATACTGTATCAATTATATTTATAAAAGAAATGTAAAAAAGTGTTTTTTTTCCCTGAGTCTAAAAAGGCCTTCTGATTATCTGACACTTTCAATTTTCTGACATAAATGTTTGTAGGCGTCAGATAATCAAGATTCTTTTATAAATATGTTTACGATGCTAAACAGATTAATATGATTAATTTATCTTGAGTTCAATTTCAATTTAATTAAGTTCAATTTTGCATATGCAATAAAAATATATCTTGCATTCCTAGGCTGCTGCTCATATTCATCGTTTCTTAAGCTTGGATCAAACTGTTCTTAAAAGATCTGCTGCAGATAGTAATGAAGGTTGTACCATATTATTAAACCTTAATCTTTAATTACCATTAATTACTAATTAATTGCTGTTTATTATTTATATTTGTAGGATTATAGATTGACAAAGATTTTTTTTCAGATTATAAACTTCATGCTATCATGTATTTCAGTTATTAAATAATTAGTATTTAAATATTAATAAATATTAGTTATTTAAATTTTATTTTTCTCCTTCATATTTGTAGAATTTTATGTTGATAAAAAAGAATTTGTTAGTATATAAATTACATGTAATCAAATGTTTCGTTATTAAATGAACTTCTGCAAACCAAAAAATTTTTTTATCTTATATTGAATTGAAATAAAGTATAATGTATTAAAAGGGGTAATAACAATTACAAGGCTACAGAGTTGAACATTGGTAGTCGTAAACCCAAAATTGGGTCTGCTGTTCAACGACCGTTATAAAATTAAATAGTGTAATTTTTTGTCATAAATTTTTTGAGTATTTTCTTTCACAAACATAGCCTTAAATGTTTTGGTTCATAACTGCTATTCCCTCTTCAATTATTAATCTTATTCAAATTATTAATTTTATTCAAATTGTTGTTTTAATCAGGAATTATGAAAGAAAAAAATGTAAACTTTTTCTCTATAAATATGATTAGGTAGCACATTGGATGAGGCTTTTGAGCGTCTTCATGATGCAGAAAATCAGCTGAAAGCTTTAGTGATGAGGAAGTTTGATGAGGCTGTTAGAGATGAAGATGTTGCTTCAGTGGAAAGATTCTTCAAAATTTTCCCTCTTCTCAATCAACACAATGAGGGACTAAAAAAGTTTTCAACCTATCTCTGCTCTCAGGTATATGTTGCCACATTTATATTTCTAATAAACGAAGAAATGTTTTTGTTTTATTAATTTTATTCCTAATTAAGCTTAATCTTTAAACTTTTTCAATCCTTTGTAATAATGGTTGACGGCAGTTTTTAGGAAGTGGGACACAGTAAAAATTTTAAGAGTAAATTTATAATTCTGTCTAGTGACAAGATTGAACAAGTTTTATATCTGAAGGAAAGAAAGAAAAAAAATTCCCAACCAAAATGGTAATACAATTGAATCGATGTAACACCAGAAGAATTTTTTTTTTTAAAGTTAGATGTTAACAAATTAAAATATGAGTATAAAATTTAAATAGTGCATTTATTTGATAATATTCTTAACAAAAAGCAGCAATAGATAAGTTGTACTTTATTATCTCAAAGATTTCTGGAAGAAACAATTTATTGTTCTGATGCATATCCAACAGGTATGAAACCATGCAATTGTTTTATAACGAGAATAGATTAAAGTCAATTCTTTTAAACGTATTTATTTGTCCCTAAAATATTTTTTCAAATATTTAATTTTCTTTTGTTTTTATGAAATATTTCTGTAACAAAATGTCATTCTTTTACATGTGAAGTATAGGATTGTCTAAATAATGTAGTGCATGCAACAAAAGTATTTTTTTATTAATTGTTTAAGATCGTCCAATGTCCAAAGAATTCAATGAAAAAGTTATTATGTTGCGATTAAAATAGCAAAGTACATCGCATAAGTAGTGAATATTTAGTGCATATAACCTAATTATCAATGGAGTTTAGAATTAAGTGCCTTTAACAGTGTTGCTCACTGTCAGCTCTCACTTTTTGCGAAGTGCTTTTTAATGTCTGTATGTTTCGTATTTTTAATTAATTTTTTACTAATAATATCAGAATTATGCATCAGGTGCAAATATGCTTAGAGGCTGTGATATTTCAGAACAGTTTTTTAAAGGTATCTAATTTCTTAAAGTTTTATCAAAGAAAAGCACATTGCTAGTTTCTCTAAACGAAAATTCGAACATGATACTTTTTTTTATTAAAATCTTTTAAAATTGCTGTTATTCCAAAACCCAAGGTTTTAAGAACTTCCTTGTTTTTTTATTTCACACTAGGGGGGCTAAGTCCCCTGTTCTCTGCCTTTTATTAATTTTATGCTGATGACATCCAAAACACTATGGCAGTGATTCTCAACCTTTTATTTGTTGCGGCACACTTTTAACGATTTCGAAATTTGACGGCACACAATGAAAAAAATTAGATTAAAAGTTGTTTAATTACCTATTTTACACTGTGTTAAATAGTTTGTGATAATAATTTTGAATGGGAAATGAAATAATATATATTACAAAAGCACGGTTATTAAGGGATTAATTATTTCTTTCGACCAATATTTTATTAGTTAGTAGCATTTTTTTATTTTTTTGCTAGTTATTAATTGTTAGCTTGTTTGCTATAGTTATTAACTNAGCAAACTAGATTAATCTTAGTATCAAGGCAAAAAAAATTTGAAGTAGAAGTATATGTATTTAACAGGAGAAAAAATTCTAACTCTTTAGATGATAGTCTAAGGCAGTGATACTCAACCTTTTATTTGTTGCGGCACACTTTTAACGATTTCGAAATTTGACGGCACACAATGAAAAAAATTAGATTAAAAGTTGTTTAATTACCTATTTTACACTGTGTTAAATAGTTTGTGATAATAATTTTGAATGCGAAATGAAATAATATATATTACAAAAGCACGGTTATTAAGGGATTAATTATTTCTTTCGACCAATATTTTATTAGTTAGTAGCATTTTTTTATTTTTTTGCTAGTTATTAATTGTTAGCTTGTTTGCTATAGTTATTAACTGGTAGTTTTTTTTTTTACATTAATTGTCATTTTTTTGTGTTTTCTCGTTAACTAGTTTTTTTGCTAATTATTAATTGTTAGCTTAATTTTTGTTAGTTATCCCTTGTTAATTTGTTTTTTTATATATTTGTTTTTTTAGTTATCCTTTGTTAATTTGTTTATTTATTTCATAGCTTACTTTAATGATCAGCTCTTACAGCATTTTTTAAAATTGCTTGTCATATACAATTTAAGCACTTCCATCTTATTTTAAGATTGTCAGAGACAAGACAATCGCCGACAAAGATGTTCACGCAGTTGAAGCGTGGAAGAATTATAAAAAGTAAACATATATATACACTTATCTTTAATTTAAACTTTACTCATAATAAAAAAAAGCATTATAATTTTTATTGTATCATTTTTAATATTTGGCGGCACATTTTAAGAATTTGAAGGCACACAAAAGTGCCGCGGCACAGTGGTTGAGAATCACTGCACTATGGAAATGAATGAGAAAAATCTGGATCCCACCATGTGTTTTTCTGACCAATAAGAATATGCAGATAACAGTGGAAAACTGTGATGCCATTTTTATGTATTGTAAGATATACAGCCAAAAGTGATTTAGTCACTAACTAGCAAAAAGAAGAAGAAAAGAGAGAGAGAGAGAAATTGTACTTAAGTTGTGTTCTTGCCTATTACCTTTGTGAAGAAGGAAGTCCAAATCAATCTACATAGTGTGAATATACTGCCTAAAGCTATGAATGTTGACTTGGATTTTTTTCCCTTCAAACGTTAACGAGCTATTAAATGACTTAGTAATAACATCTCATTTTTGAAAGTTGCCTTGATCACATTTAGCTACATACCAACAATATATGTGTTGTAGTTTTTATAAACAATGTTTTTAATTAATATGTGGGCATAAAAGTTTTCCAGTTTTGTGATCAATAATTAATATGCTGTTCTTTATCAAATTACCATACTTTCTTGATTATTACATAATCTGCATTGCTTATGTTTATAATCTGCATTCTCTAAACTAAGCATTAAAAAAGGTTGCATTATCCAAACTAAGTTTATTTTTAACTGTTAATTTTTTTTCCGTAATAGATTGCAGAGAAATCTCAAAAGAACATGAAACTATCCCAGGGTGTTTCACAGTCTGATGTGAGATGGACTGTGAAGTATGCCGACACAGCAACTCTTTTGTTTGAAGGAATTGCCCGTGTTATTGAAATACACCAGCCTTTGGTAGAGACCTATTATGGTGAGTGTGCTAAAATTCCCGATAAAAATATACTAAATAGATTGAACAAAGCTTGAAGCAGTTATGCTGTTCTCAATAAATTCTGGAAAAACAAATTCAACAAAAATTAGAATTTTTAATTCTAATGTTAAATCTGTCCTACTATATGGATCTGAGAAATGGCACTGCAATAAAAATAACATGGAAAAACTTGAAGTGTTTATTAACAAACAACTGTTTAAGAAGAATCTTGCATATCAAGTCCTTCCATGAAATTTATAATGCTGAAATCCTTAGAAAAGCAAAACAGAAACCAATTGATCTGGAAATTAATAAACGTAAATAGATTCATCATGTTCTACGTAAACCTAAAAATTTTAAACAAGTTTTTGATCGGAACCTTCAGGGCAGTTAAAAAAAAGAGGGAGACCCAAAAATACTTGGTGTCTATTGTAAGCAAATTGGAAACAACAGAAAAGACATGAAAAGAGGCAAATTATCTGGCCACAAATAGAGTGAGATAAAAAGCTATGATAGAAGCCCAATACTCCAACTCGGAGTGAAAAGGAATGTAAAAAAAAAATATTAAAGAGCAAAAATTTTCAACGCAGTGACCACCACTAATAAAATCACTAGTTTATAAAATCAGCCACTTTTTAAAAAAATCAAATCTGCTAGAGCAAAATCATTGCAATTTAAAAATATGCTAAAAATCATCCTTTTGTAAAATAATTATACTTGTTTTGTAAATTTGAATTTTATACTGTAGATGTTTAAAACAATTAAAAACTCATCTTTTTCTGAATAATTAGAATTTTCTATTTTCTCACATTTTGAAAGCATATAAATAACAAATATCATTGTGCCTCCTATAAACAAAGTTACAGGTGTGTGTTGCGATTCTTAAAAAAATGGGAAGGTGATAATTATAGAAATATATGAAGCACATAGTATAAAGGAATGCAATTAAAGCTGTTTATTAATTTAAGAAAAGTTATAGAATGCCTATCATCATTCAACGTCAATGATTATCACTCATTTAATAAACTAAATCTGCCTTCAATGATATCAGAAAAGTGCTTGAGATTTTAAAATGAACTTTACAGTAAAGAAAAAGAAATATTGCATGTTGCGAAAAATTTCAAATTATGTAGAATCTTTTTTTTAAATTTTGTTAATCAAATAAATATGCTAGTTTTTTTAAACACTTCTGTAAATTCAAATTATACCTATTGTTTAATTAAAATGTAAATTCAGTAAAAATGAAATGTTAGTAAAGTTTAATTTAAAAATTATTAATCTCAGTTTATTAAATCAGCTGCTTTATAAAGTCAAATATTCTTGGAATGGACGTTGCAGGCACTGTACCATGATTTATCTCTTCTATCTATCATTGATTTTGTTTTAATTTCCATTATTTTACATTCAGCTTAATTTCCATCACAATTTAAGTTACCATAAATTATGATTACAACTATCCTGTATTTTTAATTTTCATATCTTATCTATTTTAATTTTATTCATATTTTTTAGCTTACTTTTTAAACAATGTTTTTAGGTCCTGGAAAGCTTTTTTCAGTGATAGAAATTATTCAAAAAGAGTGTGACAGACAGATAAAGCGTGTCCTGGAAGAGTTTAAAATGCAAAGAGACTTTAATAAAAAGGTAATGGAATTCTAACATTTCCTTCTTTTAAAAAAAAAGTGTTCGATCAGTTTTAAAACTTTCTTGTATCCAGTTTTATCATGTTAAATAATTTGTAATATTTTTGTATAGAGGTTAAGTATAGATGAGTCACTTAGTTGCAAAATTCATTGAAAGCAACATTCAAGTATTTTTGTTTCCGTGGAAATATCTTTTGTAACTGAAGTTCTTTTTGCTTCTAGTGAAGAATACAAAACAGAACTTCACGGAAAATATCTTTTGTAACTGAAGTTCTTTTTACTTCTATTGAAGAATACAAAACAGAACTTCAGGGAAAATATATTTTGTAACTGAAGCTCTTTTTGCTTCTAGTGAAGAAGACAAACAGAAAAAGATATTATCTGACTGTAACTATGTCTTTTGGATCCTTAATAGTTATTTTAACTTGTTTAAAAATTTAAAAAAAGAGGATGGTGCTGAAATGTATCCTTGAGACTTTATTTAACCATAATAATCTTTGTAGAATTATGCAAACACCAATTCCCAATTTGTTAGGTTATTAATTAATATTTTGGAATGGTTTTTATCTTATTTCAGGCATTAAAGTGTCTGAATGGAGCTTTTATGGAGTTAAATTAAAAAAATTTAATTTCCAAGTTTTTATATATATTTGTCTAATACCTTGTAACATATCTAAGTTTGAAACATTGTCTAATTGTTTCTTACATATCTAGGCAAAAACAGCAGCGGTTAATAAAGTTCAATTTTCAGAATGCATACCTATAGTTTTAAGATTATATTTGATAAAGATATCTTTTTGATCCCACTATGTTAATTCTACAGTAAAATTTTTGTTTAATTTATTTTGGGTAAATTTTGGCTCTCAACTAATCAGACTTGCAAATTTCTAATAACAATAGATGCAGGAACTCTAAAATAGTGTAAAAATTTATTTTTGCAACAATTTAGGCCATTTTTTTGCGTTTACTTTTTCTCATAATAAGAATTCCACTGTAGAAAGAGTATACTACTAAACGGAATGCATTATGTGGGTTATCATATAAATTATATTACTAAATTCACTATTTTTTTTAAAACACTTGCTTTAACTAAGCCATTGCTTAACTAAGCATATGTTTTATTTTAAATATTGATCTATTGCATTTGGCTTGTTGGTAGAGCTCCGGACTCTCGTTCATGAAAACCGGAGTTCAAATCTAGCCGGCCGAAGACTCACATGTAGTAAATGGTGACTAGTACACGTTAAATCTGTCAGGTCACAAAATCCTCCATGTTCCCATAACAAATTATACTTCAGGGGATACTGGACTGAAGATTGATGGTTTTCTGGTGAAAATTACAATCTATATATGAATGGATCCATCCTATAAACAGATGTGACATATGGTTGTGGTAGAAGTCGAATTCTTGGCCATAGATGGCGCCACTAGAAAACGAAAACAATCCCACTTCATGTACCTTAAAGGCCTACAATAACTACATTGACAGATGTGACGTATGGTTGTGGTAGAAGGCGAATTCTTGGCAATAGATGGCGCCACTAGAAAACAAAAACAATCCCACTTCATGTACCTTAAAGGCCTACAATAACTACGTTGCATATAGCTAACAAAAAAAAAATTCTTTTCGTGGAATTAATTTAAATTTATTCTTGCCTCTATCCAATGCACGATACATCTCTAATATCATAAAAATACAATTATCTTATTAAGTTCACTTATCTGATAGTTAATTATCTGTTTTTACATTTTTCAGGCTTCCTGTATTCAACAGTTAAATAAATATCCCCACAGAGCAATTGAAAGGTATTAAATTTTACACTCATATCCATGTAGTTTTTGACTAATAATTTATATAACAATCAAAAAATATTTTTGATTTTCTGAGACTATTACGAACAAACTACAGTATCAGATAGAAAAAATTTATCAGCCAAATATATTATTACTTCATGAAGATATTGTACTAGTGTGAATTTGTAACATTTTTCATAAAAAAATTTAAGATTTGGAAAAAATCATAGGTGACCTTAGAAAATGTTTATAAAAAAACTTTCTTGCTGAGATTTTAAAATGTTCAAAAACAATTATTAAATTTTTTATTTAAATTTAAGTTTTCCAACAATCTTTATCTTTATTCATTTTTTTTTAATGCCTTTGGTTTGGAATCATTCCATGGTTGTTCTTAAAATTTCGTAGCATGACTGTATCTTTTCACAATTAAAATACAAACAAAAAAATATTCAATAATTTTTTTATTAAATTTAAGTTTTTTTCAGCTACATTATTCCGAAAATTTTTTAGATGAGTCAATTTTTTATAATACTTTTTTTTAATTCAAAATAGTCAAAATCAAATACTGTGTAATGACCTCTTAATTTTATCCTGTAGTTTTCAAATAATATTGAATAGTATTTATGGTGAACCTGACATTATTTTACAATGACCTTTGTGTGTTTTCAGATTTTTAAATGCTTTTCATGTAAATATTTTATGTCATTTCTGAAACATTTTTTCACAAGTCTTAATGTATTTTCAGAATTGATCCCCGTGAACTAGATAGCCTTTTAGCAGAAATTACTATCTTAAGTACCCGAGCTCAGCTTTATCTCAGATTCATTCGACGAAGAATTATGGTGTGTTTATCCAATCTTTCTTGCCTCATTATTGCTGATTATTTTCGCATGTACGATGTTCATTTTTGAAATTTATTTATTTGTGAAGAGAAGTCTGAATCTCATAATTAACAAGCATATATTTCCATTAATTCTAAAATTCAGTCTAACTTGAAAAGGAATAATTTTATTTTGTTTTTCTCTATTACTACAATCTGAGCAGCTTTTTCTATTGAGTGATTAAATTGTAAGCTTATTTTGTTTTATTTTTATATGTTATTATTATTATGTATATGAAATTTGTGATATAATTTAATACTTAAAAAATATCTTAAATTTAAAAAGTATTATAGCTTCTGAAATACATTGTAAGCTTTTTTGTTAAAAGATATATTTATGTATTTAAAAAATTTTGTTATAGTCCTCGAAAATAAGTGTTTCGAGCACTACAACTTTAATAAATTGTGCAACAATATGGTGCTGCAGACATTTTGTTTTATCTTGACTACATAAAAAATATTATATACAACATGCTGTTAAATATCTCCAGTGATTAACGTGATCCATTTATGTAAAAATTACTAACCAACTTCGAAAAGGTCTCATGTCTGTGACAAAATTTTTAAGACACCAATATTACTCCTTTAGAATTGTCTTTATGTATCATCTATGTCCTAAACACTCCTTATAAAATTTTTCTCTGTATAAAAAATTACTGAAATTGAATTCTGATATTTTAAGTATTATTGCTTTGATTTGAGTAGTCACTTCTTGGCACTCAGGATTTACAGTGATTCCATCGTAAAACTATACAGAGTTTTAATAAATTTTTTGGTAGATACTGCTTCAAATTTTCTGATAGCTTCTTAAAATCCTGATAATTTTCATACAGTTTATTACTTCACTCAAAATTTAAATCATGCATTTGATTATTTGCTTTTTCATGTAACAATTCCATTTTTATGATTGATTTCTTACTGTTACCATTGATATCCACATGTTTTTTAAGAGGCTGAGATATTTCATACGATGTTATTACAAAAAATGAAATTCAAAATGCACATTTTGAATAATCACTTTTTGCTGCAGTTACTGGATTTGCGCCAATTTTATGAAAATCATTTGTTTTTTCGTCTGTTATTACTATTAATTTTCAAACTTGTTTATTATTTTACTTCTGCTATTTTATACACCATTTTTTGCAATCTTAGTATTTTTCATATGTTATTATTATGACATGTGTAGTTCTAATTTGCGCATTTAAGTCTCTACTTTTTGATGCGATGACTATTATACGATTGATTGATAACTTTATGTGTCAATTTGTTTATTAATTAGTTTGAATTCCTTAAGTTAATCAGTTAGACCTTAAATTTAGTTTTATAAACTATTTCAATATATTTTGATATTTATTATTTAAAAAAATGATTTTAATTTGGAGAAAATTTTATACCTAAAAGAAATAATAATTAAAAAAAGTTGTATCCTGGGGAAATATTAGGCTCTGAGAATTTTCTGCACCCTTCCAGTATGGCTTAACTCTTTCAACACGACTTTTGCAGGATTGTTATTTAAGTATGAAAAGCAGTTTATGTTAATGCTGATATATTAAAATAAGTATTCTATGAGTTTAAAGTTTTCCACTTTTCCCGGAAATCTCTTGGGACAATGTGTCTCAGTCGTCTTGAATATTGTAAATGTACCTGTATATTGCAAAGAAATAAATAATGAAAATAATATAAATGCATAGAATTAATTATTTTGATCAGAAGTTATAGAAACCAGAAGTTGCCATTAAAAAAAATCCAAAAAAAAACTCAAATTTATCTTATATTTTTATCACTAATGGGATATACTGTCCCACTGATAAGTACGATTGAGACCATCTATCCCACAAACCAAAATGTCTTCAATCTCATACTAAATAGGAACAATTATTACTTAATAATAACAAACGTAACATTTTACTCAAAATATGGCTAAAATATAGTTGTACTTACCGCAAAATATAACTTCATTTGAAATTCAAATTGCAAACAATTTCCAATTGCTAACAAACTGTGGAATAATTTTTGCGCTGCTGAACTATTTCAATTCTTAGTTGAAGTATAATTTTATATTTATTATATTTTAACTTACTATATTTTATGTGAATAAATGACATCCATCTACTATTATAGCATTACAACATCATTGAGCATTAAATATTTTGTACACAATTCTTATTTTTAGCTACTCCAACTTTTTATTTAAGAGAAGGTTTTTTTTTATTCATTTACTTATTTTTGTACAATTTGGCTTTTGTTTTGAAAAATCAATGAAAACTAAAACTTTTTAGTTTTTTATTTCTTGTAAATTTCAGTAAAATGTCTTGTTTGCAAACTGTGACAAAGTATGATTTCTTTTTTTCGTTCTTTAACTTGAAGTTTAAGAATTTAAAAATATCGTCATTATGTAAAAGTTTTTCTTGAAAGTTTCAGAATTTGAATAAAGACTGTTTTACCATAGTAATATCTAAGAGTGAAAGTGCAGCAGTTTGTATAAATTTAAAGGAAAAATGCATAACTGTTCCTATTGTTGTATCATTCTTTTGCCTATTTGATGATAACAAATTCATATGTTAATTTTTTGTTTCTGTCAATGCTTTCTTTTTATTAAACAAAGTTTAATAATTTAAGTATTTTTTAGTCGATAGTATGAAAAATGTCCTAATTGTGTCCGCCTTTATTTTAGGGAGATATTGAAATTTCCTCTCCTAATGAAAAACAAAGAAAAGGTAAGAAAAAAAACCTCCTAGTAGAATAATTAAAGTGTTTCGAGCAATAGAATGGTAAGCCACATATTTTAAATTGTTTAGAGGAGTTTTTTTTTCTTCCTTTTTTTAAAAAAAAAAAACACCAAGATTTCCTTGACAACAATGAGATGTTTCTATGTATTGTGCTATTGAGTATTTGAAATTCCAAAAACTTAAAAAGTGCCTTTCTAGAAACAAATATTAGATTTTGGACATAAAAAACAAATAAAAACATGCAAATAAATTAAGTTTTTTAAGAAATTCTTTTGATTCTAGCATTGACACCCTAGGTCCAGAAATTATCGATTGAAAACAAATATCAAAACTCATCTTTGTCTGAATTTTATGAGAGTGTTCTGCTTTCGATAATTTGGGTAAATTTCCTCATGGGCTGTTTTCCAATTTTGACACTACTTATTTGTGTGAGAAAACGCTCTTCAAAGTAAAGTACCCAAAAAATTTTTACAAATCAAGTTAACTGATGAGCATCTTAAATCTCGTTTAGCCGTGAGAAGTAAATCTGAACCATGTTTCCTCGAAGGGGATCGAGCGTTCACCTTCCAATGAGGCGAACTGGTTTCAAACCCCTGCTGTGGGCTGACGTAAAATATCCTTAGTGGTATATGGATCATGGGTTAAAGTCCCCTTGCCATCAAGCTAACCGTGGGAGGTTGTCATGGTTTTCCTCCATGCAACGCAAATGCGGGTTAGTTCCATCAAAAAGTCCTCTGCGAAGGCAAATTTTTTCCAAGACTTGATCCAAGACATTTCCAGGATTTCCAGGAGGATTGGATTCAAAATTACAAGGCATTATTGAACATCGCAAGACAATTGAACATTAGTAATTGCAAACCCAAAATTGGGTCAGCTGTTCAAGGACGGTTATAAAATCTCATTTAATAATTGGTATAAGTAAAATTGGTCTACAATTACAAGCTATTGTCAGTGAAAAATCACAATTGCATATTTCTCATTAGTATTTTTTTAAGCTGGACGTAAAGCTTTACGTAGCAAGTAAATAAAATCAAGGTATTATTATATGTTTTTCTATCCAACTTATCAATAAATCATTAGCTGTCGCTGGCCAGATTTCGCCAGGGTCTGAAGTGCTGACTCTTGCTATAGAGCTTCTAGCAGATCTTTAGTTAGCTTATATTCTATGTTTATTTTACTGTAAAGTATGTTAATATAGAACATTTTTTAAAACATTTTGTCAACAAATAGTGTGTAGTTTTAAAAAAGTAGTATTGGTTAACACTACTTGCAATGTGCTATTTAATTTATTAATAATATTGCTAATTCAATGCATAAATGCAATTTGTTTGATTTTTGACAGTTTTTGGTGCAAGTTTTTGACATGTAGCTTTGGGGTGATAGTTAAAAAAAAAACTTGCCAAACATCCCAGAAACATTAAGTTTGCTGGAAAATGTTCACCTTTGGAAACTTATCAATTGCTCCAACTTTTTATTTTATAAATAATAATGTATGAAACATACTTTGAAATTCAAATACTCATTTATTAATTTTTGTAGAGGAAGAGCAGCGTTTGAATCGATTTTTAAAGGAGTGTGAATTAAGTCGATTAATGCATGACCTGCTAGGGACGTATGTGACAATGGAAGAATATTTCATGAAGGAATCCATTCAAAAAGTATAATTTTTTTTTTAAACAGGTTACATTTATGTCTTATAGTATTTTATTTTTGATATATAATTTTGATTTTTCTTCATATCTGTCACAGGCAGTCAACATGGATTTAATTGAGGAAAATTCTCTCACTTCAAGTATGCTTGATGATGTATTTTTCATTACAAAAAAATGTCTCAGGTAAGATCTTTTAAACAGCTTTAATTGAATCTTATTTACTCAAATTATTTTCTGAATTTTGTCTCTACTTTTTTTTATTGAACCATTGGTGAAAATAGTAGAAAAATAAATTCTAAATTATTGCTTTTTAATTTAACCAAAGGAGAAGCATTTCTTTCATATCTCATATATTTTGTTACTTTAAGGTAAGGTAATAGAAATACTTTGAAACCTCCAGAAAGTATATGTATGTATCCTTTGTAGCGACCACCTCTATTTACGGCCACTTTTTGGAGGCGCAGAATTTTTCCCATAGACTTTGTGTTAAAGAAACCTTGAGGAGAAACCATTAAAACCTCTCCCAGCAACATCTGCACCAAATGCGGAAAAGGTCAAATAAGAAAACACGAAAAAATATCAAAACAAAGAATTTCACGAAACAAATAAGTAGATTTAAATCCATTCAAAATATTTGTGTGAGACTCCAAGTTAGAGAGCTCTTTTTGGCGCTACAACCTCGTGTTGCAATAAGGACCTCAAGTTGCAAGGCACTAAAGACGATGCTATCAATAATTTGCCTTTAGCGTTAAAAGTAAAATTAGAAAAAAAAAATTATTTTACATAAAAGCAAGCATCTTAAACAAACGTCTTCTCATCTTTTAAAGCTAACTAATTTTTATGATATAAAATTAAACAGGGTGCGAAGCGTTTGTAAAAAGTATTTAAAGGTGCTTTTTTGGGAATTTCGTTTTTAAAAGCTTTGAAAGGTGCTTTTTTCAACTGGCGTTTTTAAAAAGTGCTTTTTTTCGAATAATACTTTTTTTCCCGTCAGTGATATCTGGTGGATCCCATGCATTTCAAGAAAAATGGGCAGTTTGCTACTTAATCATTCATGCGGACTTCATGTCATACTCACGTTATGACTTGCTCATGCGCGCACACTTGAAACCGAAACCCGAGTGCTCTAATTCGGATAGAGAATATCAGATCCTTATGAAATGTTTTTCTTTTTAATTTATTTTAATTTTGTTCTTGTTTATTTTATTTTACTTCTAACACTTTTTTTGACGTAGGGGGTAAAGGTACTTTTGTTCTGAGTTCAGGGCCAAGTTGAATTCACTCGGTGATATGGGAAAGTACCGATTGTTTCGATTTACACCCGTTTCTTTTTGGGTTTTTTTTAACGCTAAAACTGTTTATAGAAAGTTTTGATTTTTCAATAATATCATTGATTGAATATGAATTTTTTGAGTGCTTGAAAAGTTTTTAAAGAGTGCTTATTTTTGATTCAAAGATTTGGCTACGCACCCTGTTAAATACAAACTTAAAAATAAAAATTTATTTAAAATAGCTTTATCATTCATAATTAGTAAATTTGTTTTTACACACATCATTTTACATCATTTACACAAATAACTGCAGAAAACTCTAACCACTGTACAGTGAAAGATCTCACTCAGGGGCACTGTTATATGGTGAAATAGTCGTTCACTGAGGTTGGTCGCTCTTATGGATTACCTCCATTGACTTCAAAATGTTATTGAAGGTACATGATATTATGAAAATGATTTTAATTTTAGTCAATGTCATTTCCTTGGTGCAGAAATGCCACTTGTGTTGGCCTCACAAAAACCTGATCCATGAATAAAATTTAGTTCTATAAAAAAAAAAATTTCCATTCATAATACAGTATAGAACCCGTTATCCGGAAATAGGAAAACCAAAAAACCGGAACGAAATTCGATAAATTTTCCCACCATTATAAAAAAAAAAAATTTTTTTCCTTATAAAATTTTAGGACTTTTTCGTTCTTTTTTGAAAGATGTTTACCTTACCATCATTTTGGAAATAATCGTTAGTGTATTGCTCCATCGTTTTTTCTTCTTTTTAAGATTATTTCCAAAAAAAAATTTTTTTTAGTTGGGTTTAACAATAAAAAAGCGGCTTTTTGTAGCGATTCAGAAAACCGGAAAAATCAGTTATCCGGAATAGCGATGGTCCCGATCGTTCCGGATAATCGGTTCCCTACTGTAATAATTATAAGGTTTTAAATTTGTTAGATGTATTGGATATTTTGCAATCTTTACAATAATCTAATTTGAGTTTCTTAATAGAAGAGCAATTTCAAGCTCCAGTGCTGATATAGTGTGCGCGATGTTGAACAACACCATTTCTTTGCTTCAAACTGATTTCCATGACTACTTGAATGAGAAATTGAAATTAGGATTTCCATCCAGTATGTTAGATTTCAGCCAAGCATACAGTGTTTTTCAATCCAGTCCACAGATCCAGTCTTCTGACATTGATAAATCAAAAATTGAATTCCTGGTAAGCTCTCTTTACCTAATCAGGTTGTGTCATCATAAATTGAAGCGGTCAATGTTGGTGACATTTTTATAATAAGTTTTTTGTTGGTTTTGGAATATCAATCACTGATTCAATTGTTGTTTGCAAATAAGGAATTATGTTTATGTCAATTGTTACTAGTGATGAGATGGGCTTAGGATTGGTTATACATAGTAGGTTTTTGAATTATAATTAAGTTTTCATATCAAACCATTTTTTAATAAGCAAAAAAAAAATTAAGTACTTCATCCACACCGCCGAATGCGCAACATAGAATTTAACTCAATGTTAATGCATCTGTTATATACAAAATAAATAATTAAATGGTTAAAAATAATTAAGTAATTATTAAATTTTCAATAAATGATCTTACTTTAAATCAAAAATAATGCTCTTCAATAATTTTTATAACTTTTCAAATTTGTATTGTTTAAAATTGTGCATAATTCCAAGATTCGCACAGGTCAGGGAAAACTGGAATTGTCAGGGAATTTTATTTTTACTTTAAAAAAGGGAATAATCTGGAAAAGTTACAAATTTTTACAAAAATCTTGGAAAATTCCTTTAACATACCTGGAAAATAATCAGTCTTAGAATAGTCAGTAACAGTAATCATTGAGATTCAAGTTTAATAATTCTAGCATCTACTACAATCATTTATAAAATTCAACATTTTAGTGAAACTTTTCCACGATTCCATTCTCATTCTATTATAAATTTTTGCTCACAATATCTAATATTTGGCATTACAAATATTAAAAAATTCAAAGTTTTCTGAGGAAAAATTGCATAATATAGATAAAATATGGTATTGATTTTCTTAGAAATGTACCAGATATACCTGGAAAAATCAGGTAATTTTTTTATCTGAAATTGAGTGGGAACCATGCAATTCTAACAAAAAAAATCGTTAATGTGCTATGTCAATAAATACTAATTTAAAAATATCCCTATTTTATGTAAAATTATTAAGCACCTAAAACATAATAAATTAATAAAAAGAACCTTACTTAGCTAAAAATTGTACCATATAAAACAATCACATCATGCCTTTTAATTGTAATTTGATTTTAAATGTTATTAAATTAAATGAATCTTGTCTAAAGTATCCCACAGAGGCAAATTTTTCACAATACTTGATCCAGGACCTGTCTTTTAGATTGGGTTCAAAATTGCAAGGCTACAGAGTTGAACATTGGTTGTCATGAACTCAGAATTGGGACGGTTGTTCAACACTGGTTATAAAATAAAATGTTGAAAAAGGTTTTTTTTTTTTTGTTATTTTTATTTTCACATGTCAGTTATTTTTATTGCAAAAATGTAGACTAATCTTAAATTTATTTATAACTGCCTTTTTATTGGGTACTTAATTCTTGTATTTTTGTTTAAATTTATTTATAACTGCTTTTTTATTGGGTATTAAAATTCTTGTATTTTTGAATTAGGTCACATTGAACAATGCAGAAGTAGCATGTGAATTGGTTCGAACTCTCCGAAGCAATTTAGAAGTAAATTTTAGACATTATATGATATTTATTGTATGAATTGGAAAAATAACTGAAAATTGTGTTTGTTTTTATAGGAGGAAGTTAGAAAAATGTTCCCACATGCTTCTGACCAAGATGGAGCAAAACTTGATGTAATGCTACTTAAAACTATTACTTATATTAATATAGAAATTCTCAAAATTTTCATGTGTGTATTTCCTCTCTTTCCAACATGTCAATCTGAATATTTCTTACCCCTCTCTAATAAATAATGAATCTGATTAAATTTGGACTTTTTGATTTGTTTTGTTATATATCAATTTTCGGCCAATTCCGAAAAAAATCAAGGCATCACAAACCAATATTTGAGTTGTAAATAGATATTTTATTTTCTTCTAATAGTTTTAATATATTTCAAAATTTGGCTGGGTCACATGTTGGTGAATTTCTCTTTTTAGATTTATCCCTTCTTGCAAACAACAATTCCCTAATAAGCAGTAAATGGCTGAGGATGATTAATGTCACCGGACAGAACCTATCAGCGAATGTCAGATAGCTCTGTCTTTTTTTTTGTTTTATTGTTTTTCCTTTTTCTCTGCCTCTGTTTTTTAATTGGTTGAAAATTTTAATATAACAGTGTACGAAATTTTATTTTTTAGAAATATTAAAATTTATAAATTAGTACTTTTTAGCTCTTTAATTTCTAATTAAATATCGTAACCATGTAAGCAAAAATAGTAAGCTCTAAAAAAGCTAAAAGACATAGCAAATTAATGGTAAAATAATCTAATAAGGATTTCATTACTTTCAACTTTTTTCTCTTGATATGCATTCAATAACTCTACTTAAAAAAAGTATATAAAAGCACTTGATTACAATAAAATAGAATGTCTGATTCAATCTGTAAAAAAAAATTGTTTTTAATTTCCTAACATTTTACATTCGTTTTATAACAAAAGAAATTAAGCAGTATGTGACATGAAGACATAAAACCATTACATCAAATGTTGGTTTTGTTAAATTTTTTTTGCAAAATTTATTCATAATTTATTACAATGCACAAAGCATTATCTTTAAGAATCAATCTGTTACGAAATAAAGGGTTATGATCTTTACACTATAAAAGAACATCCTTTAGATGAAAATATACATTGCTTGTATCTTTCTGTTTGAAATAACCATATTTATCATGTACCATTTTTCCAAAAACCCACATTTTAGCTTGGGGATTTTATGCATTTTAAGAACCCACACTAACAGGCATAGGAAAAGGACTTCTATTAACAGTGAGCAGTTGCCAACTTGGCGACCATTTTGGGGTCATTTTTGGCAGAAAAGCTGTATCTACTGTCAAGATGTTTGAAGGCTCTGGATGCATTAGAGAGCAACTTATTTTGTCAAAGATTGGCGACTTTTCTCTTACAAAAAAGGAAAGAAAATTGCAAAGGATAAATTTTAAACAATTTTAGTTTTGTTACATGAATTAAGTACCTTTTGTTTACGCATAGTATCATCTAAAGTAGCGACTCCCAAATTGGATTGCAAGGAACTCTTGGGTTCTGCGGAAAGGTCACAAGTTTCCAGAGTTAGAACAACATTATCCGTTATGAAACTATGTAATAAAATGTATATCTTATAAAGTTTTCACTAGTTATTTAATATTGATCTGAAAACTATTCTCAACACTTATTTTCTCCTTTTTTTCAATTATTTAAACGGAATCAGCTTTTGAGCTCTTTCATTTTCAGTTCATGCATTCAATAAAATCAAATTATGAACTAGAATAATGTCACTTTAGGATTCAACTGTCCGACATAAAACCCAATTTTAAGACTTGTATTGTTAAAAGTACAGGATGAAAAAATTTCATTCTTCATTCATTTATTAAATATTTTCTATTTAATGAATAAATTTTTAGTTCATTAAATCTTTTCAAAATAAATAATGCATAGCTGCCAACATAGAGAGAAAAAAATCCAGTAGATTTTACGAAATAGTATAAATTTCACGATAATTGTTGCATAATGTACTAAATATTTTAGAAGTAGGAAATTCTAGGGATTTTCTTAGTCATCAAAGTAGAAAAACTGCAATATTCTATAGTTATGATTGGCATTAAACATACTTGAAATGTTATGTATTACGTTTACTCATAATTTTGAACATTAATAGGCATTTAATTCACCAAACATAGTTCAAAGATTTTTTAAAAGTAATTTAAAAAGATTACTGTGAGTAAAAATAAACTGAACATTTTAGAACAAAAAAAGTTTTGGATTGATTTCTATAAATGAAGTTTACTTCATTATGTATTAGTAATACTTTTTAATTATTCAAGCAATAATCTGCACAAAAAATTAATTTCAAAAGGGATTTTTTAAGGAAACTTACTCAATTTTTGGAATTTTCTAAATTGTACAAAAACCAGGAGAATTTTAAATAAACCAGTAGACCAGGAGAAACTGGCAAAATCCAGTAGTCTACTGGAAAATCCAGTAGAGTTGGCAGCTATGATAATGGGTCTTAAGTTGATTGATGTTTTTTATAATTGTTAATGAAATTTCTTCTAAGTCTCAGAATTTTACTAAAAGAAGGTTGACTCTTTAGGATTCCATAGCGAAAAAAAATTAAGAACTGCTGATCTAAAGGACAGAAAAAAGAATTCAATTTTATTTTACATGTTTTTCAGTTTTGTCTTTGTGATTAACACCTGGTTTCACATTATCTTTCTTTTTGTTTGAAATGCTAAATTTGACTGGTAGTTTAATATTTTTAATGGTAGTTTAATATTTTTTTACTAATTGGAATATATTTAAAGATGATTGTAAACAATGAACCAAATGGCCAATTTTGGATTGTTCATTTATTATTATAGTATATTAGGTCAATCTCCAATGACAAGTGTCTTAATGCAAAATTCTCCTGATACAGTAGGGAACCGATTATCCGGAACGATAGGCACCATCGCTATTACGGATAACTGATTTTTCCGGTTTTCTGAATCGCTACAAAAAGCCGTTTTTTAATTGTTAAACCCAACTGGAAAAAAAAATATTTGGAAATTATCTTAAAAAGAAGAAAAAACGATGAAGTAATACACTAATGATTATTTCCAAAATAATGGTAAGATAAACATCTTTCAAAAAAGAAAGAAAAATCTGAAAATCTTATGAGAAAAAAAAATTTTTTTTTTAAATGGCGGGAAAATTTATCGAATTTCGTTCTGGTTTGTTGGTTTTCCGGTTTTCTGATTTCCGGATAATGGGTTCTGTACTGTACTTTAAAGTCATTTTGTTTCATTTTAGTATTGATGGTCTGAATTGTTTATTTCTTTTAATGCATAATTCAATTGATACTTTTTATACAATCATTTTATTAGTATTGATGGTCTAAATTGTTTATTTCTTTTAATGCAAAATTTGACTGATACTTTTTTATACAGTCATTTTATTTTATTTTAGTTTTGATGATCTGAATTGTTTATTTCTCTTGATGCAAAATTCTACAGTTACTTTTGATCTTAATTGTTTATTTCTTTTAATGCAAAATTCTACAGTTACTTTTTTAATAGTCATTTTATTTTATTTTAGTATTGATGATCTGAATTATTTATTTCTCTTAATGCAAAATTCTACAGTTACTTTTTTATACTGTCATTTTTTATTTTTAATATTGACAATCTGAACTGTCTATTTCAGAGCTGCTTATCGGATTTGACTTCCGTGAATTTCAAATTGCAGCAGCTCATCAGTCATGGTCGCAGTCACCTGTGCTCAACAGTAGTTAAACCTCGTATAAAACCTTGGGTTGATGCATTTCAGTCCGCTAGTCATATTATCACTGAAGTAAGTACTCTTATGCTATGTGTGTGCAACTTTTTTTATTTCTACTTACTGGTATAATGAATTTTACTATCACCACAGAACATATTGAAAGATTAAGGTTTTCTGTAGTGTAATTCAAATCACACTTATCTCCCCCTCAGTCTGAGCCCCAATCTTGTAGCGTCCACCATGAAAAAGGGAGGGGGGCAACACCAATAATTTGTACTGACAAATTTTTTGTTGGTATTATATTTCATTGATCAAATCAGTTGGTTCCTTGAGTGTAGCGTTTTTAAGTTTTAGCTTTTTACAATGAACTCTATAGAAATGATGAACTCTTAACACGCAACATGAACTCCCTATAAAAAATGAAACCTTCTTAACATAGAGTTCATGTGAAAATTGAATTATTAGTGTTATTTTACAGTTAAGAGAATTTTCTGGGGCAAGAAAGCAACTTAAAATATAAAAGAAATGAAATGGGTCTCCTTTTACAAGTTTAAAGTTACTTTTTTTTTATTGTTGAAATGAAATTTTGGTGTGTTGAAAAAGTCCTATTAGCAAAATTCTCAAAAGTTTCATGTGGCCCTAGATGTTAGTAAAAACTATATTGTTAAAATTAAATGTAATATCGACGTATATTATAAAAATACTTTCATAATTCATCACTGTTGTGTCCCTTTTACATTTAAACTGTATTAAGTGTTTTAACATAATTTGAGTAAAATAAAAATTTTAAATTATTTATCCCTGCATTTCATTTTTTCCTTTGTTGCATTTTCTTGTACATAGAATAGTGATACCCTCTAAATCAATTAAATGACGTTTTATTTCCTTCTTATTTTTTTCTATTTATGCAATTCAGAAAGGTATAAACAATTTTAAGATATAGATCTTTTACTACAAATTTTGCTGCAACTGGGGAAAAAAATTTCATTAGCTTTTTATTAAACTTTTCCTATTTATTTTAGGATGAATTTTCCCAATATGAAGCAAATGATGGTATGAGGCCCTTTATACAGAATTTTATAATTAGCACAGACACTTTTCTAAAATCCCTTAAAGTAAGTATGTATTTATGAATCTTATAACATGTTTTATCTTTTTACTATTATTTAAAACATCACGTAATATATATTGGTTTTGCATTTATTGTATTTTTTATGTCATTCCTAGGCTAGTTTAACTACGAGCAATTTTGATGCCTTAGTAAGCCTTTTAGCATCTGAACTTACTTCTCATTTTGAAAAAGCTGTTATGGCCTGTCAATTCAACAGAGTAAGATTTTTTTTATCCACGTTATTTAATTTTTATTATGACCACACTGTAATGAATAATTGTTTGCCACCAATAAGTTCTATAATTGTTGCTATAAGTTTAACATTTCTGTTTATTCACTCCGAAATGACCCTAGCAGCAAAATAACTTGGGCCCTCATTGGGCCAATATTCATGAATCTTGGCTCAATAATGGTTTAAAGAGCCATTATTTCCGCGATGTTGGTCATATGTACAATTGTCGGGTGTAACTGAAATTTACAGCCACTTTACAACCAATATTGTTCCTGTATAAAATTTTCTGATTCACCCGATATTTTACAGCCACTTTACAACCAATATCGGTCTTACATACAATTGTGAGATTCACCCCATATTTTATATCCATTATAGGTTCTAAATTGGCCAATGTAGGCCCTATATGGGCTATTCTAGGACCAATAGTAGAAAATATTGATGTTCTAATATTGAGCCCAACTGGAGCCAATGTAGAATTGTTGCTAGGGGAGTTCTATCTAGAAATTGTAACCTTTAAAACCATGATGATGTTATGCCAGAAACCAAGCATAATGCCATTAAGCTTTTTCACATCAGATCCAAAGAGAGAAAAAACTCAAAGCTAAACTAAAAAAAAAAAAAGAGTAGCCTGTCTTGTCTTTTTTCATTTCCTTGTTTTCAAGCTCTTGAGGTCTCCTTCATCCTCTTACAAACATCTCTTAGAACAAAACTAACTATGGAAAATGTCTTTTTTTTTATTCAATCAATGATCAAAGCTTGTTAAGAAAATTTTTGTGAAGATTTGCCTGAGTTGCTTGACCGACTTACTCTTGTTAAAATTGAAACAGATATATATCTTTGGCAAAGTTGGGTTATGATTTGATTGACTTGCATAAAAAATCCTGGGTGACATTCTTGATGCATGTGTAGTATTTTTTCAGTACATATTTAAAATACAGATGCATACCAATATAAAAAAATACATGTTTTTATAAAAATATTAATAAAAAAAACTGCAATCCATGATGAACTATAACATAGTCTGTCCTGTACCATTCTATTCCAATTTGAGATATGCCTCAACCTCATCTCTTTCTCAGCCTTGATTGACCTTTAACCATTTGATGCAGATTTGACACTGACATCCCTTTTATATATATATATATATNAATAACGGGATAGATATGTATAATATATATATTTTATGATGCTTAAATTATGAGCAAAAATATATTTTGGTATTTTTAATTATAAAAAACAGTCTAATAGTTGCTAAAAGAATCTGTTAGATTAGCGGAATTATATTTGCCCTAAAATCTAAAAAAAATAGCTTCAATTTTTTTTTTCTCTCTCATATTTGAAAATTCATCAATAATTAATTTTCTTCGATTTAAATAACTGCAAATTTGAAAAATTATTGTTTTCAAATGAGCTGTGATTGAAAGATTTTACTTTAATGCAGAAAAAGACACTGTTGTTTCATGCATTATTTCATAACCATAAATTATTAAAACACTAAATATAATATTTTTCCTTTAATAAATATTTTTCCTTTATTTTGACCTAAGTAAATAGGAAATATGAAAAAAGTATAAAAAATATGTTTCATAAAATTTTTGCTTCAAAAGGTTAAAAATCTTCCTCGTACGTTAGTTTTCCATTCTCTTCACCATTGGGCAAATTATGTGCCCAAAACCATTGGATTATTTTTGATTTTATATGGCATATATCTTTTTCTTAAACAGTTTTTAGATTTTGTGGTTGAATTGTTTCTACCACACGCCGCCCTCTCTCACTGATTCTCAAGATTATTCTTTCTCAGCTAATTAGATAATATCTTTTCTTGTTGTTTTTTTTCTAAGTTCATGTTTCATAGATAACTTTTGGTTTGAGTACTAAAAGTTATTTATGATATTAAGTACAGTTTTTTCACCCTTGAATTTTGTTTTCTTTAGATCTCATGCAAAAAAGCGTACTACTTGATTTTTGGCACAATATCATTGTTTTCTGTTACAATTGAGCCCAAGTAACTTGAGTACTTGAATTAAATAACTCTTTCGTTCTTTATTTCTCCCTTTACCTTTATATCAGTTTCATTGCAATCTTATTTAGTCTTTCTTAAATTAATTTTCAGACCAAAGACACTGGTTTCTTTGGCCAACTTATTATGAACAATTCAATCAAGGTCCTCTTGTTTCCAGTCATCAAAATTATATCATGTGCAAAAGTAAAAATTTGTGTCGTTCATATAAATATACAAGAATTGTTTTTTTTTTTTTCCGGTGGAAAAAACTGTCCTTGAAGAAATTTTTGATAATAAATGAAAAATAAAAACTTTTTTCAAAAAGAAATATCCAAGATTTAAACATTTTGTAATTGCAGTCTAAAAATTTTAATTTCCACGATATTTATTATATCATTTTTAATTCATTTATTATATCATTTTATAATTGTATAAAGAATTGTTAAAATATCATAATCAAATTTTATTAATGCTACTAAATTATTGCATACACATACTAATTGCTTACTAAACGTATGCACTACTGCAAATCACAGGGGAATTCACAATTACAAGTAGCATACTAATTTGTATAATGAAGTACTGTTAAGAATAAATACTTAAACTGACTCTTAAATAACGTCATGTACATTAGGGGTGCACAACCTTTTTGAGTGAAGGGCCACTTGCACAGCTGGTTGGCTAGCGAAGGGGCGCACATGTATTTAGACATGTTAATGACAAATGTAGTAATGTTTATTTAAACATTAGTGTTCCATTTTTTTTATCAATAAACTTAGTAATATCAATAACTTAGTAGTGTTCCATTATTAGAATTCATTCAAAAATAAAAAACTTATACTTTTTTTTTTACAAAAAAAAACTTGCTATTTTTGTTATATGAACAATAGATTTATCAAAATAAATAAACATTGAAGAAAAGAAATGTTTTTTTTCATCATATCATGCAATACGAAAATTCATTTTAGAATTAAATTCTAATAAATAAATAAAAAAAACTGCAATGCCCACAAAATGAAGATAGGAAAAAGTTTAGTCATATTTAAGTATTATAAATTCAAATTAAATATTTTAATTGAAGAAAATTTATAGGTTTTAAACAAAAGCCTAAAATAAAAACAAAACTGTGATAGTTCAAAATAAAATTCAATGCTTATTTTGTAATGTACTTTATTATTTTATTTTATTAATTATTAGATTTTTTATATCGTAAACATTTTCCTTTTTTTT